GTCTAGGCAAACGTCCTGCCAACCTGAGTTAACTTTTTTTTTTTTAATGATTTATCGACAATTTGCACATGCGAAATTGTGTAAAACAAAATATACATAACTAAGCGAAACACACATAAGGATGTACCGCAGAGAAATCCGCTAAAAACCGTATATATTTATTTATATAGTTTATTATAACCGACCTTAAACTAATGATAACGATAATTATAAACGATTAATGAATACACACACCACACAACAAATTAAAACAATAAAAAAGAAAAAAAGAAAACATTTTTCCTAGTACTTTAGGCCACCCACTACAAAAGAACAGAGAAAAAAGAACAAAAAACTCAACACATTTACATGCATTATTTTTAAAATTCCTAGAAACATAAAAAACAGAAGCAAAAGCTGGAAAGAAAAGAAATACTAAAGCTATACACACACTCACGCATACTCTGACATTGTATACATATGTATGTATTGGTGTAATAATCATGATAATATATAGAACCGTTGATGATAATTGAGCAAAAGCAATGAGAATGAGAAGTGGATGAAAACCGTATAATAATAATACATACCAATAATAAACGAATACAACAAATAAAATGAGAGAAAACAAATACAATATTTAAACGAAAAGTATACCATATTTTGTTGCCTTTCCTTTTTGAATTATTTCATTTTATTGTGTGTGCGAGAAGTTTTATTTTTTGCGAGGTTATGGTGCATGGGATGGGGCAGGGCGGTTCAGGCGGTTCGAAACATGCCGACACGATTCCCGAAAGAAACCGTTGCGTCAGGTGGTACTTTATTCTCTCTTTATCGCTGTCCCTCTGTAGGCCCCCATAGGCTTCCTTGTGCAAGGTGAGGCGCTCTCACCCTGACCCTCGCTCACTTTGTGTCACATCAGAGACAATGCCAAACACCCTACAAAATTATACCTTGGCTCGGAGCGTAGCGCATTTTATTTCACATGCCAAAATGATATTTTTGATCAAGAATTTAAATTGACATTTGTATCACCCCTACCCCACAAATAATTTAAAATTTAAAACAAGAAAAAGAATACCGTATATCTGCATATACATTTATCGATATTTAACATCCCCTTAAAATCATCGCAGGCTCACAGTCTAACAGCGCTCTGAACAGCAGCGGCGGCACGGCCAATGGCAACGGCAGCGGAAATGGCGAGACTGCAGCAGCATCAGCAGCAGGAGGAGGAGCCTCTGCCACACCTGCTGCCGCAGGTGGTGACGAAAATGGTGCAGCAGCAGCAGCAGCAGCAGCAGCAGCAGCAGCAGCAGAGACCGAGACAGAAGCAGCAACAGCGTCCGGTTAGCGCAACAGCTGCGCTCTGTTAATGTAAAATGCTCTTTCTACAGCGTACTGTTATTCGCATATGTATGTTTTATTCGCTCTCGCTCGCTCTCAGGGTTGGAGCAGACCTAAGTTAGTTTTTTTTCGCAGCATTCAGCATAGGTAACGGAGCGTGATGGCAACATAAGCCTCAGCCACTCACACATATACACACACACATACGACCACACTGACACACACACACACACACACACACACACACTGACAAATAGCCACACACATGTATGTATGTATATGTAGCTACTATGTGCATGGCAAAGGCGGAAATTATTTAGCATAAAAACCAAAAGCAAAAAAAATCTAAAACCAAAAATCAACAAGAAAACAAGAAATCAACTTAAAAACTATTCATAAAATACTAATTACGAGTATAATATTGTATTATGTAATCCAATTATCCCTGGCCCATAATAAAGTAACCCCCGAGGGTAATGGATATATGGAAAATGTTACAAAAAGAGGAGCGAAAGCACCCGCTCTTCTTTGTCCTTTGTCCCTTGTCCCCGCCCCTCCGCCGACGCATTCCCCAAAAAAACTACCATCCACGTAGCAAACAAATTAAATGGAAACTGGCAAAAAAGAAAAACAAAAAGCAAAAAAAAAAAAACAGCAGCTCCTGTTATTGTATTATACAGACGGGAATATCTAAAGCAAAAAGGCCTACCACAAATGAGAGGATTACTCGTACTTAGTGAAATAAATCAAAATTTTTTGTCCCCTTTAACGTACCATCATACTAAATAGTACATACGAGTATAGTGTATCTATGCGGATATCTAACAGATATAGTTATAGCATAGCACTCGAAAATAGCAAGAGAAAAACAGAGACGGAGAGATGAAGAGAGAGAGAGAGAGAGAGTGAGAGAGGGCGGGCTAGTGGGGGTGGAGCGCTACATATAAATGGCTAAAGAGAAGGAAGCAATGGGGAAAGAGAGAAACTAGCAAAAAATAAACAAATAAAACAATGAAACCGAATGAATAATAAAACAAAACACAAAAACGTTTACTAAACTCGCGCAAGTGCATCTATAAACACACACAGATACACACACATACATACACGGTATAGATTATATTATATACGGTATAAAAATATACAAAAAAAAAGAAAATATACATACAGTCGTAATCCTAGTAGCAATAACCCCATTCCAAAAGAAAGACACAAAGCAGCTGCCTCATCGGAAGAGGCAACTGCCCTGCCCTGCCCTGCCCACCCTCCCACACACACACACACACACACACACACACAGACTTAGCAAACGTTTTTTTCGGTGGCCTGTTCTTAAAGTAAAATCTAGCATTAACTACGATTAGAAGTGAGGAGCAAGGGAAGAAAGGATTCAAAGAAAAACAAAACGCAATATGCAATATACAACCAAGAAGATTAAACAAATTATAAACGCAATACACAATCGGTTTGCGATAATAACGATAACAGACGGCAGACCGGAGCATGTGGGGGTAGGGGGAGGGGTAGGGGTAGGACGAACTACTCGATAATTGATGAAAGTGAGTAGTAAAAGAAAAAAGAAACGCTTTTAGCGCGCGACGCCACCCATAACATTTAATTAAAAAAAGGAAAGCAAACCCAAATGTAACTAAAAACTAATTAAAGGTCGAAAGGTCGAAAGGTCGAAACGGTGGAGGGAGTAATCTCGATACATACTTATGTGTACAACTAATCAACAAATAAAACATTTAGCTGCAATTGAACAATTTAAACTAATTGAATACGAACGGAAATGAAATGCAATACACAGTGAGAAAAGAGGAGTGTGTTACGGATTACAAACAAGCGCAAGCGAAAGTTAATTTAGATTTAAGTCAGTTTCGAGCATTCCCTTGACACTCAGTCCCACAACCACAACCCTCTACAACCTCTACTCAAGGCTCCTATATATTTGATTTTAACCACGAGCAGCACCACCTGCTGTACCATCCCCACTTGCACCATCACTCTCCCTCCCACCCTCACAGAACAGCAGCACTGCTTGAACCCCACTTAGCATGAAAGTTATCTCTACATACTGTAGTATATACTATCTAAATATATAATCCCCAAAGGCCCCCCTCCCATAGCAGCAACATTCGCATCCCCATCGATCCACCCAGAGTCTGGGTTTTCACTTGGAAAAGATTGAATGGAAACCAAAAAGCAAACAAGTCTATTTGTATGTATTTCCATAGAGCTCCCTGCATACATGCATACAGATATACATATGTATATACATATATGTATATGTATTTATGCATATTAATATATACATACATATATGTATGTATACATCTATAATAGATATATTTTTTTTTTACTAACTAAAAAGATACATTTATAAATTTAATGAACGTTGAGTTTTGTATCCATCAAAACTAATTAAAATTAATTATATACATGCAATACATATATAAACACACACACACACACACACACAGACACAGACATGGACAACAGACCTGCAAATCTAATTTCCAGAAAGCTAAAACTTAAAAACTAAAAATTAAAATTAAATAAATAAAGTTCCAAATTCCCGCCCTAAGCTCCCAAACAAACAAAATACACAATTTAGCGAATAATCGAAGTAAACCAAAACAAAAAATAACACACCAAAAAAACACTTTATTTAAACTATTGTAACTCACACACACACACACACACACACATACAGAAACAATGGAATACATGAACAAATAGAATATAATAATATATAATTTGGAAAACATTTAAGAAACAAAGATCTAGATATACAATATGGTATATGCGATTATACATATTTATATATATATATATATATATATATGAAAAACAATTTCAACGTTTCGCTTACAAAAAGAACAAATCCAAAAGAGAAAAACAAACAAAAAAATGAAAACTTAAATTTAATAATAATAATAATAACAAACATAAACACAGAAAACCCTAAACCTAAACTAATTGCAAACAAAAGATGAAAATGAAAAATGAAATCAAGAATGCCCCAAAACAAACATTATTTGAGAAAAATGAAAATGGTTGCAAGAAGAACAACACGACATAAAAGCGTAAAGAAAAACCTTAATTTAAAAACAACAATAAAAATTACAAACAAAAATATATATAAAAAATGATTGTATTTTCAAATGGGGTTTATTTCAGACTATTTTTTTGTTTTGTTTTGTTGGAGGGAGATCGAATCTAAAGTTATTTAACTAATGTCTGGATGGGGCCCGTTGAACATAGTGTTTTTTAGCATACTTTTTAGGGCACGCCAGCCGCACTGCTGGTGAAAAGAGTTATTAGATGCCAGGAAGGGTCTTGGGCCTGCACGCATCAATTGTGGTTGATTGGAATGCTCTAACCAGCTGCGTCGAAGCGATGGACTCACAGTGGAACCGAAAGGCAGTAGAAAGCTGGAAAGCAGCACCACATTTGGCTTAGAGAATTCTGAGGGACTTACAACATAACTAGCGATATTTACCGAATGGCGAAATATTCAGAGAATGTTCAATAATCCAAGTGAAGCTTGAGCCGCTTGCCGATGCCCCTCTCTGAGGCAATTACACATACGCGTTTCTTATGGTCGTACTTGAATTTATTTAACAACAAAAAAAAGATTGGTATTGTTATGTGTTTATACGATTAGATAATTTATCTGATGGTTGCCACTGCCTCTCGCTGCCTCTCAGCCTCATGTCCTGCGTCGCTTGACCACACTCAGGTCGGTGGGCAGGCCCAGGCCGCCCTCCAGCTTGATTCGCCGCTTGCTACTCCTGACGCCGGACGAGGCGCTTGCCGTCGGCTTCACTGTGGCCGGAACTCGGGTCTCGGATGGATGCGTTGCTGGTGGCTCCGAGTAGCTGGTGGCCTGCTGCTGCTGCAGCTCAGTTTTGATGATTGCTTCGGGGGCAATCATGAGCAGATCATTGCCAGTGCCGTTGCCATTGTCATTGCGCTGCTGTCCGTCCAGGCGCTCGCACTTGATGTGCCGGAAAGCGGACAGAGTAGCCGCCGCCGCCGCTGCCGCTGCCGCTGCCTCTCCTACGTGCTCCGCTGTGGGTGCGTGGCCATTGGCCATGTGATTGTCGTTGTTGTTCTGCTCGTGGCCGTGGCCGTGCCCGTCGTGGCGCTGCTGCCACTCGAGGATGCCGGTCAGCAGCTTGATGTACTTTATGGCCGAGCGCAGAATCTCGTTCTTGGACAGTTTCTTGTCCGGCGGATGTGTGGGCACCAGTTTGCGGAGCTCCGCAAAGGCCCCGGACACGTTTTGCTGGCGCCAGCGCTCGCGGGTGTTGGTGAACACCTTACGGACGCCACCGCCACCGACAGTCCCTGCAGAGTCCCTGCCGTTGCCGTTGCCATTGCCAATGCCATTGCCATTCGTGGTGCCCGTCAGCTGTCCGTTGCGGCAGGGCGAGGTGTGGGAGCTGGTGAATGGATTGCCGCAGCCACTGCCGCTGCGCGGGGAGTTGGACAAAGAGCGACAGCCTGCGGGAAGGCATAAGTGCAGGGGATAAGGGATCAGGGATCAGGGATCAGGGCCATAACTTACCATCCGCCTGATTGCCGTTGAGCACGATATAGTCGCGCAGATCCTCCTCATCCTCCTCGGTGTCGTTCAGCGAGAAGTCCGACAGGTCACCATCGCCATCCGAAATGGATTCCGTCTTGGGCTGCAGATAGGGCGTGGCATGCCGCAGCAGTGCCGGCGGCTGGCGTGGTGTCCCCGCAGTTGCCGCTGCTGGCCTTGGCGAGCCGTTGGCCTCCTCCCGCCGCCCACTGCTGCCGGCGGCTGAGCTGGCGCTGGCACTGGATGCTGTGCTCCGTTCATCCGCATTGTCCGATCCGTTCGAGCTGCTCGGTAGCCAGGCCATGTCCAGTACGTCCGAAGTGCACAAAGTTCAGCAGTGAAATGAGCATCGAGCAACGAGTCTGCGAGTCTGCGAGTCTGCGAGGCAGCGACTGGGCAGCAACCATCAACCCCGTGTGCAGGAGGCGGGACTACAGAGGCAGAAAACAACCCTCCAGTACACCGAGGCTGCATACCCACAAAAGGTGGGGTGGGCAGGAGGCCAGCCTGGACGGGGGTACGGGGAACTTAGCGGATATTGAACCTCTTGGCGGCCATTCCAGACTTCTTTGGCTTCGCCGCCTTCTTCACGTCCAACCCTGCCAGCAACCCCTTCTTGGCCCCCCGGGAATTGGATGGCAGCGAGGAAGCGCTGGAGCTTGCGCCTGTGGCCACGGCCAGTGTGGCGGGACTGCTGCTGGCAGTCAGACTGAGCCGCATGTCCGCCGATGGATTCACAAAGATCATCTTGTCCGTCGTCTCCTCGGGCGTGCGTCCCGCGAGGCGGGGCGGCGGAAACACGTACGAGGTGGCCGTCATTTTTGGGTCCGTGTACTCCACCTGCATCTCGATGGGAAAATCGGAGACCAGCACATCGGTGATCTCGAACGGGGCGCTGTCCGCCACCTGCAGGCGCATCGGCAGTCGCGGCGACATGCGGAACGTGACGCGGCGCACATACTTCTCCATGCTGGCATTGCCCTCCTGCTGGCGCAGATAGACGCACCAGGTCTGGTCGTACATGGGCGGCATGTCGGGGTCGCTCCACTCGATGCGGCAGCCCAGCACAATCTCCTTGACAATCACACAGCGACCGGACAGCGCCTCGGAGTAAGCGCTGCTCGAATCCTTGTTGCAGCTAACCCTCTGGCAATCGTCCACCACATTCTGGTGCCTCATGGCGCTCCTGTAGCTCATCATTATCGCGCCTGCGGGGATGTGTGTGTGTGTGTGTGTGTGTGTGTATTGTGTGCGCGAAATTAATTGAACCGAAAATTTATTTAATCTAGCAGAAACTTGGGAAACATTCCGAGAAATTGTTCTAAACTGAATGACGACTTTCCTTCCCTTGCCACTTGAATGCCACTAAAGTCTCAGGCAACTTGGATGCCAAAAAGGGGCATGGGCATGGGTCTACAGTTGGATCCACTTGGATCTTATCAGCAGCCAAGGGCCACGCTTGGACTTCGTCTCGGACCAGGCAAAAGAAACTGCAAAAAAAAAGGACTCGCTGTGGCAAAACTTTGCCGAAGAAAGCGTGAAAATTTCAACGGAAATTTGCCTACGCGGATGGATACATTTTCACGGCCCATGCCACGCCTAATTGCCCCACCCAGGCAAAGGATGGGTGGGGGAGGGAGCACTTGACAGTGCGCCGACTCAAGGGGGCGGAGCCACGACAGACAGCACCCAGCACACAGCACCCAGCAGCCACCCCCACAAAGCGCTCCAAGAAGTAGTCCAAAAATAATTTCGTTTCTACGTTAAAATTATATTTTGTGGACAGGAACAGGAAAACAGGATGCAGTGGACTAGGCTAAGCCCTTCGTGCCATCTTTGGTCAGATCAATTGACTTTGATGGTCTGCATGCAGCTGGTTGGGGCAAGCATTGCCGATTGGCCAGTGGCATTGCACACGGACCGATGAAGCGGTGTACAGCCTTGTCCACAAACTTGGAAAGAAATGTTGAGCTCAAGGTGAATTTACTTACTTCACCAGAGGGAAGCCAATTTCGGAACCAATATCACCATCTCCATCCCTTTCTTTGCGTGGTGAATAAGTTATTGGTGCTCAACTTGGGTCAACTTGTCTTCAACTTGGGTCCAGCTGCTCTCCTCTAATCGCCACTAATGTGTATTCATGAGCAGGTCGCTCTCCATGGGACACACGCGCCACATGCACATAATCATCATCACTTTGGCATTAAACGCGGCCAGGATCCTGAGAACCCAATTCTAATCCAACTCTCAGTCGATCAAACACACAGACCAGCAGATACACTGGGCGGCAGATCAGAGCAACCCTCAAATGGCAGCCACTAAGCGGCTTAGCGGCAATCAAATCAAAACTACCCAAAAAAAAAAAAAGAAGTTAAAAGTCAACGCCACCCGTCGAGAGCATCAAAATCAAATTAGCAGCAGGTTGGTGGCTAATTCTTTATCATTCAGTGGCAGCATACGGGCTTCCACAATGGGTGCATGCGGCATGGGTGGGGGGCCAGGGGAATGGCGCGTGTGTGGCGACACTGATAAGAGGCAAGCGTCGGCAAACAACCACACGTGACCGACAGCCACTGTGGCTGCCTTGGGTGTGGGCAGGGCTGGGATAAATGGATTTTCACACCCACTCGAGGCGGAGTCACACGTGGGGGGCAGGTCTGGCCAGAGTCACCAATTAATAAAATTCAATTACCGGAGGCCGCCGCAAGCCGATTCCGTAGTCCGATAAATATCAAATATATTTATTGGATTATGGAAAATGGGAGCCTGGACTCTGACTCTGGTTTATTGGAACAGAGTATACATACAAATCGGGCTACGAGTATGCGATGATCTGAGCAAATTGAATGTGTGACGTGGTACCAGCCAAAGGCAACTTTTCAGTGGAAAAACAATCGTTGACATTTATGTTTGTTTTTTACATGCGACACATTATTAGATGAAGCTAAATTTCCTCAATTTCCGTCGACGTGCCCATTGGCCGGTAGATTGACCCATCTCGATTTTACATAAAAAAAGTCGCGTAGAATGAGTATTTCTCATTAGAGAATTATCCTGCTGAAAAATTTTTTACTTTTCAAGTGAGAATAAATAATGGTTTTATTTTTCAAATAAATATTAATGTTTGCTCGATAAATAATTGATCAACAATTATAATTTTGGTTGAAACCCATCAAAATCATTACTTTTTGCTAAAAATGCATCCATGAAGGTTGTTGATTTACCTTGCACAGGAATTTTGTAACGTTTTGTGACTATGGAAAATATATAGAAATAAAAGAAAAATAATATCAACAAAATCCTTTGCAAAAGCCAGCAGTGATTCCAATGTCCAAACCGGACTCTAGCCCCAATTAGAACTGTCCCCAAACCAGTCAAAGCTTATAATATTTGTTTACGCTTCCAAATGTTACGTTGCAAATGTAGGCTCTGTGTTGGATCTGACTTTTGTGAAAGGAATCAAAATATAAAACTGGAAATGCGAACAATTTTTACTGGGAGGCAGTCATCATCATCCGATAGTTTTTGATATGGCTGGAAAGAAGAGAAAGCTGTAAGATTTCTTGCCAGGAAAATACTACTAACAAAAATAGGTAAAATAAATGGAAGTATTGAAAGTTTGACAAACAATTTGGGCAGCGAAATAAAAGCTGCAACATATCTGAAATCAAAATTATGGCGGCATGAGAGTCATGCTGAACTTTTTAGAGAATTCCGTGACGCACCAATACAAGCAAATGCAGAACCTTATTTTCAAAAGTACTGCAGGGCGGTTGAGGCAATGATAAAATGGAAAAAGCAGTAAAGATTGCAAAAAAAAAAACCAGCTATGCCCGTAAAATAACAGAAATTAACATAAATGCAAACAGCAGAGAAGCGTGGAGGTTTTTAAATAATTTTAAAACCCATCACCCAGAAACTACAGAAAAATTTGATCAAGAAAAAGCGGGAGAGTTTTTGGTATTCCTAAAGGAACAAGTACCTGTGGAGGATTGGATAAAATTACGTCTGGAATGTTAAATGCTTTGAACGATGAGACAAAAGCTGCGTTAGTTGGTTTTTATATTAACAAAATAGCATATTGTGACTTTCCGATGGAGTGGCGTTCCATAAAAATCACACCTATACCCAAAACAAATAAAGATCTTACAGATATTAAAAACGTTCGCCCAATATCACTGATTTCGGTCATGGCCAAAACTGTAAATGGAATCATTAAAAACAAACTAGAAATGCACATAAAAAAAAACAAGGAACCACAAATACAATATACCATATTTACTCTTCGAGTACCGGGTGTAAAAAAGCTGTGATTTTTTGTGATGAATTGGGAGCAATTAGCAATCAATCATAAGCAAACAGACTCTTACATAGTTTGTGTGATATACAAAATATAATAAGTTAGATTTTATTTGGGTACCTGGACAGAAAGGAGTTGGGATTAACGAAAAAGTAGACTTTGTGGCAAAATGAAGGAGAAACAATTTACACCAAGTTTGGTATTAAAGAAGCTCTTAGGACTATAAGCTACAATGTAGAAATAAGGGCACGAATCTAGTCGAGTATATCCCAGAAATACCCAAAAAACCGTGACACTACAGTTGCATATGGAAGGCAAAAAGTATTAAAATAATAAACAGACTAATGACTGGACACACAAACGACAAGCCCTTTTTGTTCAAGATCAACGCTGCAGACTCGGATAGTGGTGATCTATGCAAAGTTATAGGAAATGCTGAACACTTGATTTTTAAATGTCAGCGGTTCACAAACCTCAGAGGTAAGTTTCGTATTTTTAAATACTATAATATTCTAAGAGATATACTTGCGCGAAAAGAGCCATTACACCTTAGAGAACTGGCCTTTTTCATGAGCAAAGCAAATTTCGACTTTTCAATTTTGTAAAATTCTATCACTTTATGGAGTAATATATTGATAAATCTGATCTGCGATCGTACTTTTCTTTTATGAACGATCTATACATAACCAGTCAAGCTCGTTTGCAGGAAGTCCTTGCAAAACTAAACTTGGTGGTTTAAGGAAGAAAACACAAGAGTGTTCTTTCGGCAAGCAACTCGTTTTGATTCCAAATTGATTCTTCAATCGGATTAAATTATTGTTTTAGTGTTAAAAATCTTTACAAGCTAGTCAAATCAAATGGAACATCAAAATCGAGGAATATGATTTAAGACTACGGTATATTTACGGTATATTTTTAAAAATGAGTAGGTATATTTTGGCATATCTTTGAGTCTGACGGTATATTTGATCGATAAGTTCGCGGTCACACTGTTCACATCCCCCACTCGCACAACAACAATAGAGTAACAACATAAAAGAAAACTTAAAACTGCTCGAAACGATTACATTTATTGTTTTATTTGGAGTGAGAGCGCTCTGGTGTTATTTTGTTTTGTGTTCTTTTTGCCATATAATTTAGTGATTGCGCAACTGGAGTGCCTCCGTTTTTTCGGCCTCAGTGCGAGTGCGAGCGGAGTGGTGAGAAAGAGAGAGAAGAGTGTTTGTGTGTGGGTGTGTAGTGCGCGTGCGGTGTGAGTGTGCATAAACAACAACAAATAAAGAACGGGTAAAAACTACGGAATTGATTAGAACGAGTGGAAGTTTTTGATGGGCAACTCGCAAACAAGGCATGCCAGCAGAAGGACATCGCAAAGCACTCGTGAAGCAGCAGCGGCACAGCGACATGAACTAATCGAAACAGAAGCAGCAACAACTGCAACTGCAAGTGCATCTACCAGTAATCAGCAACCAGAAGCAGCACCACAGAGACGACGACAACAGTCGTTACCCTCGACATCCTTTGGCTGTGGCGGCAGCAGTAGAAAATCCCTACACAGACCACCACCTCCTGCCCAAGCGGAGACCCAAGCGTTGTTCGTGCCTGAGCCGCAGCCCGTGGCAAGCAACAGCATCGGCGTCGTCACAGCTGAGGCAGAAACACAAGCAGCAGCAACAGCAGCGACAACGGTAGGATTGCAGCAGGTTCGTACTATGTAGGACACAAGGCTGATAACACAGTAGATATGTACCTATGTATGTACATGTGTACACACCTATGTAAATGCATATGTATGGATGTATTGTACCTATAGATTACTTTTACCCGCTGTAGCTGTGCTGTAGCGGGTTGTCCATTTACTTTTTTTTTGTCATCGTCGTTTGTTTATTTTCCGTTGTCTGTAAAAATAAATACTGCGTCATTGACTGGTTGGTATATGCCTTCGCATGTATTTTCCCATCGAATGGGCAAATGAATTACGACGCGGCCGGGCTCTACTCTCTCTCTCTCTCCGCTCTCTTCTACCGAGCTCAGGCTGCTTGATCGAGATTTCTAGGCCACGAAATTCTGACTGGAGAGCACGTGTTTGTTTGTTGGGGCTTTTCTAGCAGTACAATTCTGCACTTTCGTCCAATGTTTTCATTTCGAGTAACAAAAACAAAGCATATACATACATACATATATGTATATGGGTGAGGGTGTGTGCGTTTATATATTTCCTTCCGCATTCGCACATTTCATTGCCATGCTATTTACCGCTGCGCAAATTCTGGCGTCATCAGCATTTACATATGTTGTGTATAGTATATGTATGTACATGTAGAATCTGCGTTATAAAATGTGTGTTTTCGTTCTATTTCACTTTTCGCCCATGTGGTAGGAGAATTTCGTTCAAAATGTTTGCCATTAATCTCAGTTGGGGAGCAGAACCACAAAAACAAAAACATCGAACACATAAAAACAGCTCACACACGCATGCAGCCACACATACGGAGTGTATGTATATGCGTGCACGTGTATGCGATATGGAGGCAGGTACAAGTGTGACCTCACTCAAGGCAATATCGGGCAGCAGCTACAGTACAGGCACGGGCTCTTGGGCTTTCTGTACCAAATGAGACATTATAACATAAACAAATTAAACTACTGCTATCAGATACAAAAACCCAGACAGCAGGCACATACAAACCTAATACTCGAACGTTATCTTGAACGATAGACCCACCCTCCTAGCCATCGTTCGTGATTACAAACCTGACCACCTTTTGTGGCCCACCACTGTACATACACCAATGTATTTTTTTCGCTCTCGTTTGCTCGCTCTCTCGTTTTCTTTTACGGCTGCGCTCAGCTGTTCGAAGATCGTTTTTCGCTTCGCTGCTTGCAAATAAATAAATATAAATATTCTCGATAAACATTCCAAATTAACTTTTCTCTACGATTACCAGCAGCTGTCCACCTGGAGCCTAGGCAGTCTTAGCGGCGGTCGCCTCAATTGGAGTTTTTCGGCAGCTCGCAATTCCTTTCGGCATCGCAACAAGGCCACACGCAAGAGGTAAGAGAATCCGAATTTCGAGCAGAATGGAATTTACATATTTTTGTTGTTTTTAGCTCGTCTTCGCTACAGGGTGTCCGTCGCAGAAAAACGCAATGGCATCGACCACTGACTAATTCAATATTCAATTCACACTTCAAGGAGGCCAGCCGCAACGATCAATTCCAGATTGAGCATCTCGTGGCGAAGGGTGCGTTCGGTGTGGTCTTTAAAGTGTGCAACAGAACCGACACCAGCTCATGCTACGCACTAAAAGTTCTTAAAAAATCAAAGGTCTGCCCCAAACACTACACTTGATGCTCGGTTAAATAACTCTCTCATTTATGCATTTTAGCTCATAGAGGACAACAGCGTGAGACAGATAAAGGACGAGGCGGATATACAAAAGGTCTGCGGTCACCATCCGTTCATTGTGCAGCAGTTCGATCTTTGGCAGAACCGTCATAACCTTCACATTCGTAAGTTGACTGAGAATTTCTCTTTAGCATTCGGCAAATGTAACATTTTCCCATTGCAGTATCCGAATACATACCGAATGGCGAATTGTTCTCGAAAATTGTGGACTTTTCCATTGACCTAGTGCGCCTGTACATTGGAGAGATTGCCCTAGCAATCGGTGAGTTTCAGCACAGTCCGATGATTTGTGAATCATACTTCCGATAACGAAAATCAAATAACAATAGCGACAGCGTTCATTAGTAGAACTCCCCTGCCTCTATAGTTACTTTATTGACTTGTGGCTTGTTTCCCTTTCCCTTACAGATTTTCTACACAACGCCGGCATTATATATCGCGATGCAAAGCCAGAGAACATTTTACTAACGCATCAATTTCACATCAAGCTGACAGACTTTGGGCTCAGCAAGTGGCTCAAACTGGGTGCAAATACACGCACCATCTGTGGCACTTTCAAATACATGGGTACGATCTGAACCAACTATAAACAAAACAAAAAACAAAAACAATTACAATTAATAAGCAAAAAAACAAATAGCACACTTGTGTGTTCCGCAGTTAGCTAGTAAGAGGCGCCGCCGCGTCGTTCCAAATCGTTCAAAGGAAAACCCAAAACCCAGCAACAGTAGGGAAGAGGCAACACAAGCAGTATAGGGATATATAAATAGAGAAATAGGATTTAGAAACTAAGTTGCAGCAAGTAATTCTAAGACAAAAAGCAAACTGTGAGACGGGAAAGAAGTGAACATTCTGAAGTGCGGAATACAATACAGAAAGCATCCTTTGAGCACTGTAAATAGCCAATAGTCCCAATACAAAGATGAACGCACGCTCGCAAGTGTTTGATCTGACGATGGAGGGTCTGCAGGTGGACGAGGCAGTGACCACCATCTTCCAGACAGTGCTCTTCCATCGTTGCCTCGGCAAGTTCATGTACACGGGCGATGCCCAGTACTCGATCGGCACGGTCGGCTACACGGACGTCGACTGCAACTTCATTGACTTCACGTATGTGTGCTGCACCTCTGACAGTCTGACGCACAAGGTGAAGCGAGCCATTAACGTGTTCAGCGAAAAGTTACGCTCCAACGAGAGCTGCGGCTCCGGGCAGATCAGCTTGGAGTTCTTTCAAAAGAAGAAGAACCGCTGGCCATTCCCACAAGAGTCCATACCGTGGGAGGTGTGGACGGTGCATCTCGATTTGATCAAGCACGAGAACGAGGACGAGCGGCAGCTATGTCGCGAGAATGTCTCTGATCTTCTCACCGAAAAGGTAATCTACATTACGGAGCTAATGAATCGGCATGACTATGTGCCCAAGACGCCCAGCCAGAGTGAGCTGGATCTCATCTTTGATACATCCTTTCCCGATGTTCAGCCGTATTTGTTCAAGTTTGATTATTCCACCTCCGGCTCGGCGGCCCCATCCATGGGCAATGCCATGAAAAAGATCATCAAGGAGACGCTCGCAATGTGACTGGCTAAAGCTAAATGTGGAGTAGTACCAAAACCAAACTTCATCATTTTCTCGTGCTCGTGGCAACAGTTTCGTGCAACATGCAGCATACACAATTGATGTATTTCTGCTGCTAATTTCACATCTTACGTTGCAATCCAATGGTGATAATGAGACAGATACAGATAAGGATAAAGATGGATAGTTAAATATTTATTGTGTGTGTGTAAAGGGGAGAGACGGACTCCCTTCCTCCCATGAAGTTCGCTTTGTTACTACTTTTAGTTGTTATTGATTTATTTTGTTAGTACAGTAGATCCGCTTACACCCCGCCATCTGTGGGCATCGTCTCGCCACGCTGTTTGTATTTACAATCATTAAATGATTATATATCAGAAGAGTTTCGAGCTAGACATAGAGTTAGATTAAGTTGTAGAAACCTGTAGAACCCTTTAGAAAATGTTTGTTTTATCGTGTTCCATGCAAACGAGTAGGACGTATGGAGAGGCAGAGGCAGTAGGTATGAGTGAGAGCGATGTATAGGAAGTGGAAAGCCCAAAAACTAAAATACAGTTGCAGAATTTTAACCATTGATGGACCAAGCGTAAAAGTTAAAGAAAAAAAAGAAACATCAGTTTTGGAGCTGGTATTGTAACGATAAAAGTGCATTAGATTCTTAGGCTAATCTCATTAGTGGGCCTAACACCCCACCAATCAATCAATCAATCAATCAAACAAACAAACGGCCCACGTGTATCCCCCCGCTCCGGAAGCGTATATTGAGTGCACTCCTTAGACCTAAGTATCCATGTATCTAATGTATGTACATTTAAGTGTGGATTCGGTGCGGCAGTCGGGGTAGCTTACGGGCCACAAACAACTGTAGTAGTGGCTTGAACTAATGCGTTACTTAATACCTAACTACCTACCTACCCTATGTTATCGATCAGTGTAAATAATAAAACACAAATGAAATGCAAAGAGAGAGAGGAAGAGAGAGAGCGAGGAGAGCGCGACGTTGGTAATTATTTTGAAATGATTGTGATTTGTACTTGTAGTGATTAAATTATAGTTTTAGCAAGTACCCAGACGCAAGAGCAAAACAGAGAGGGAGAAAGTTTAATTGCTAAATGTTGACACTTTCCATCTACAACTACAAAAGCGGGAGAGCAAATGATGATCGAATCAATTTTGATGATTGAAAACTATGATGTGGATACTGAATGATACTGCTCTATGGAAATATATGATTTGTAAAGAATTCAAGATTGATGGATGGATGCACTTCTATGTACAGTTGGCATTGGCGTTGTTGATAAGTTTTTGTTAAATTGAATTAGCGCCACGACTAGCGCAGCACCGAATCGAATCGAAATGTATGTCTGTATATTCAATTGTAAATGTAAATCGATGTCTGTGTGTAAGTAAGTGTATGTTCAAGCTATACACAAAACCATAAATGTACTTTGCAATTAAAAAACTATTATTGTAAACTTGATTTAAGCAGAATATATAAAAGAAACCTTTGAAATCACACAACCAACAACAACCTGATGAATCAAAGTAGACAAAATGTAATTGGCCTTGATTTTAATCAATTTAAAACCAATAAAAAACCATCCATTCAAAACCATACTAAAAACGTTTGAAGAACTTACTCGCTACTCGTTACTCGATTTTTCCGGAGCCTAATATCAGTTTCCCACTCTTCGGTCTGCCGAAGCAACTTGAAAGCTTTTTGTAATATTTTGTTTGTTGTTTATTTGTTATTTGCTGCCATCCTTTGAAAACCAAATTGTTTTGTCGGGTGGGTAAAATATTCGCTCCACTCTCATATCATTGCAGCACCCGAAATACTATGCGGCGAACCCTATGGTCATGCAGTGGACTGGTGGGCCTTGGGCGTCATTGCCTGTCAGATGCTAACGCAGAAGGTAAGCTAGCAAAAGTCGGATAACCAGTAAACCAGTAAACAGTAGATAATTCCCATTGAGTATGTGAGAATGTGATCCATGTGCCATGTGCCATGTCGGTAATCTAATTTGTTGTCTACTGCTGATAGATCTGTCTATCTATCATTCAGTATGTAGATATAGACTCAACTGCGACGGAGAACAAACAGTGGAAACTGGTTTGCAGGTGCATGCGACGCATCTATGGGGCATGCACTTAATACTCTCTGATTGTAAAATATTTATTGTTCATATATACACACATATGCATATCGCGGGCTCTGTAATTCGACCACGGATGCCGCACTTACCGATAGCCATTGACAGTGTAGAGCCCAGACTATAATTCTGTAATTGGACAAGCCAGCCAGCCAGCCAGCCTTTTTTTTCAGCTTTCTTATGGCGAAGGTAGTACTTACTCGCTTACATATGTAGATCTCAGGCAATTGTCGTTGATTTGAGAGGGGAGGGAGGGATTATTTCAATGCGACCCCAAAGCCCTTGCATAGCTAGCATAGAAAACTCCCAAGGTTTATCAAGCTCATTAAAAGATTGCTGGCTTTCCTTTTTGTTTGGATTTTTTTTTTTAAACCAACAAGAAGATCTTGCATGGCTCATTAGAGGCTTGATTTATTTTTTAAAATTTGTATACCCGGTACTCAAAGAGTAAATAGGGTATATTGTATTTGTGCACAAAGTGAATGGTTGTAACACACAGAAGGAAGCGTTTCCGACCCCATAAAGTATATATATTCTTGATCAGCATCAATAGCCGAGTCGATTGAGCCATGTCTGTCTGTCCGTCCGTCTGTCCGTCCGTCTTGTTGAGCGCCTGGATCTCAGAGACTATAAAAGCTAGAGCCACCAAATTTTGCATCCAAACTTCTGTACACACTGTTACAAGTGTATTTCAAAAATGAGCCGCGCCCCCTTCCGCCCCGGCGAAAACCTCCGAAATCTACAATTTTGAAGATAAAAGAAAACAAAAAACGCAATTCTATCAGATCACCAAATTGGGATCCGATTGGATCATTATTAAAGCCAGAATGAAGAAATTCATTTGCAGTGGCTAAACCCACCCGCCCTGTCCCGCAGCTTTTGTTGCTCTTTTTACATTCTCTCATTCACACTCTGCTTCTGCTTGACTCGGCCCCTGCCTCTGCCCTCCCCCTGGCGTTGACTCTTCCGACTTTTAACCAAGACTCGGTTTTTAACGCTCTGTATTAGAAAAAGAGTGACCATCAAAGTTGCGTACAAGAAATGTTCATAGATGGCGCCACTTTCGAAAAATTTGCTGTGAAACCTATCGGTCCAAGAATGTACCAATTTGATTGCTGTTTTAAATATCTCATAAATTGGAAAATATTAACTGATCCAATTTGTTTTATGCATTTTATTTAGTAGGCTTTTACTACGTGTCCTTTAATGTGAACGATATCTAGTGGTTGGCGATGTCTTCTACATCTAGATGTAGTACTGAGTGCCGGGTATAAAAGTTGTGACGCGTAAGAAGCGTCTCACACGTCTCTTCTCGTTTTTTTTTTTGTGTGCGGGCGCTGCCTCTGCCTCAGCCGCGAGTCTGCAGTGTGTGCGAGCTTACGGAGCGTGTTGGCGTGAGAAGTGTTGTAGATGTAGATGATGACAAATGACGAAAAAATTTAAAATTTGACAAATCACCGCTACGGTGCAGATGTAGTACTGAGTGCCGGGTATAAAAGTTGTGACGCGTAAGAAGCGTCTCACACGTCTCTTCTAGTTTTTTATTTTACTTAAGAATTTAGGATTGATAGATTTATTTATTTAAAAACAATTTTTTTAATTTTATTTAAGAATTTTCCCAGTCGCATCCCATATATTTTTGCTCATGTCTACGTTCGTAGAAAACAACCGCGCCAAGGTTTTCTCCCCAGACAATTTAAAAACTGATACAAGATTGTTTTTTTTTTTTTTAATTTTTTCGCTTTTTATTTAAGAATTTTCTCAGTCTATATAAAATCATATATATTTCTGCTCATATATACGTTATACCACTATCGTATTAAATGTAGTTTTTTTTTCATTAATTTAAAACTCAATTTAAAAAAAAAAAGTGAATTTCATTTATAATATTATTAATAATATTATACCATACATCGATGCTGCTGCCGCTGCTGCGATCATCGTACACAGGGGGAACGGAACCTACTCGTAGAGAAAGATGCATTTATAGTTTGAGTTTTCGGGGGGGAGGTTGGGTTGGGTTGGGTTGATGCTTTTCTCGGGAGTTGTGGGTGTTTTGTGTGTTGTCTTGCAATGACTAAAATTTAATTAAAATTACATTAATTAAATTTAATTTATAAGTATAACTTTATGCCATCTTAGCGGTTTGTCCTGTTTTTGTTTTTTTTTATTTTGTTGTTGTTGTGTTTGTTTTTATTGCTATTTGTTTGTTCCATGCAATACCCTTCCATTCCATTATATTGTGCATTCGATCCTCACTTTGATGCTGAATGATCTTGTGGGTTTGTGTTCTACTTTTGCTTCTCCACTCCACTCTCGACTTTAGCTCGTTTTACAACTAAGAATACCACTAACGACGATCGTAATATTAAGGCGCTGGCGCTAACGTGACGCTGCGTAGCGTAGTGGTGCTCGAGGATTGGGTCTAGGGTTGTACTGCGGGGGGGTTGGACTGTGTGTGTGTGTGTAGATTACCGTTGGGTATGTTGCGGTTTAAAGGTTTAAGGGTGTAAAGCTCTCTCTCTCTCTCTCTCTCTCTCTCTTGCTCGCTCTCGCTCTCTCTCTAGTTTGAAACATTCTCCTTGGATTCGCTGCTCTCATCAGACTCCTTGGACTCGGAGGACTCCTCGTTCTTGGACTCGGACTTCTCCTCCGACGACTTCTTTGGCTCAGCGACAGTGGGCAGGGGAGCAGCAGCAATGGGCTGAGCAACTGGTGCCTCGTCAATCTTCTTGGCTCCGGTCCACTCTGGCACTTTCTCAACGTTCTGCTCCTGGGGCAAGGTCTTGGCAACAGTCTCGGCAATGGCAGCTGGCTGCTCGGTCTCCTTGGCCGCCAACTCGGGGACGCTCTTGACGGCTTCTTCAGGCTTGGCCTGCTGGGGCTCGGCGGACTTGGCCTGGGCAGCCAGTGCGGCGGGTGCAGCGGCGGGCGTGATGCTGCCTGGGGCTGGTGCTCCACCCTCAATCGATTTCTTCTCGGGCTGTGGGGCAATTGGCGTAATCACCTGAATGTTGGACTCTGTTTTGGCAGCCTCTGCTGGAGCGGCGGTAGGCAGAGCAGGAGCTGCGGCAGGTGCCTCAGATGACAAGGATGCTTCTGGTGCGGCAATCACTTTCTCGTCCTTTTGCTCAATTTCACTGATGCGCTCCTGACGTGCTGGCTGCTTCTCTGGGATCGACACATCCTTCTCAGCTTCATCGATGGAAGCGGATGACGGCGCTATGGCTGCTGGCACTTCGGCGGACTTGGCATCAATCTTGGGCTCCTGCGACTTGACCTCATCGACAACCTGCTTCTGCACCTCGGCATTGGCGGCTGGGGCGGCTGCCTCTACCAGTGGAATGGCCTTGGGCGCCTCAATTGGCTCCTCCTCGGTGCGGGCGGCCTTCTCCTGCTTCTTCTCGGGCTCGACCGACGTGTCAATGGTCTGGGGCTGGGGCTGGGCCAACGGCTTGGACGACTCCTCAATTGCAGCTGCAGCTGGCAGCTTCTTCTCGATTGGCTTGACCTCCTCAGCAGCATTGACCTTCTCGGGTATGGCCGGTGCGGTCTCCACATCGGGTGCACTCAACTTGAGCTCGGTCTTGGCTGGCTCAGCGGCAGCTGACGATGACTCGAGAGCGGCAATGGGTGTGGCGGCGGCAGCGGCAGCGGCAGCTGGAGCGACAGTTTTGGCATCGATTTTAGGCTCCAGTGGCTTGGGCTCTATTTCGGGCTTGAAGGGTGCCGGCTCAATGGGATTGGTTTGGACTGTTTTGCCCAGCAGCTCAGCCTTGGTGCCGGCATCCGGCTGTATGGCCACCTCCTCATCGGGCACAGGCAGCGCCCAGACAGTCACCAGGCAAACGGTGGCCACGAACAGCAGTTGACACTTCATGCTGCAACGAAAAACAAGACACAGGACGGGGGAAAGACAAAAGAGAGTAAAGAGAACTGTTAATATTTATAGTTAATGGTTAATAATGCTCAGAGATCTGACAAATGTGCGAGGCAAAAGGTCAAATATCTTACAGCCTACTGGCTGCTGACAATCTGACATTTCTGGAAACTGTCGTTGGCTGCTGCTCGTTGGATTAGCAATTGAAATTCTCATATTATTACATCAGTTGATTGCCCAGCCAGAAGCTGCTGCACAATGCCTAAAGTCCCCCAAGCCCAGGCCCAGGCCCAGGCCCAGCCTCTAGTCCCAGTCCCCAGCTCGCACCCAGGCTGGACTTTCTATTCCGTTTTGAAAATTTCGCTGCCTGCGCCATTCATTGAACAATTTTGTTCTTTTGTAATTCGATTAAATGATTCAATTTTTTACCGCGGAAAATTACAATTGAATTGATTGTGGCGGCGGCGGTGGGTTCGTGGACCTTATGCCCGGCTCGGACCGTACCGCAATTGTGGCACCACAGTGAAAGAAAGAGCAAGAGAGAGAGAGAGAGAGAGCTCTGGCAGTGGCATTCCGTACCATTTCTAATCGCAGCTTTAATTATGGTTCTACTGATTGGCCCACATTTGCATGGATTAACGATCTTCAGATCGTTGGGTTTTCATTATTCAAATGTGAATTAAATTTAAATTCAAATTCAAATTCGAACTGTGGTTGGTGGCTGTGACTTGCAGATTCGTGCGGCTCATTTCCTTATGCTAATTAATTTTTTATTTTTGGTTTGGATAAGCAATAAAAATCCAAGACATGAATACAAGAAATCAAAAACTAACGGTTCTTCCTAGACCCAAATCGTTTCGATTTGCTATATTGGGGGTTCTTGAAGCTGTCTTCGTCGCATTCCTTAAGATTTGTTTTGTGTTTTTTCTCGGTGCTCTCAAAGATCAAATGAAAATCAGATCAGATTGTGCCTGCACATAATGCTTCGGCCGTTTGTGTCGTTTTGTGTCTCTGCATTTGTGTATTATGTAATAGGAACCGTGAACGAACCGAACCGAAATGTATCTCACAGTGCGATACGATCTTTGTAATTTATGAGCCGAGCCTGTCAGCTGAAACTGCATTTAAGTCTTAAAGCCTAAGTCTAACAAGCCAAGAAAAATCAAAACTCGTTTGGCCGGGGAGGGGAACAAAAAACAGAAAAAAAACGCAAAGCCAAGTGGGAGGGGGGGGGGGGGGGCAGAAAGAGCAACACAAAACCGGGTACCCAAGGCATTTAGATACATTTGTGTATCTAAAGGATACACCAGATGCAGATAAGGCACATTCAGGTGCAGCAGTCAGCCCTCCCCTTGCCCCCTCCCGTCACGTTATTTGAACACTTTTTTTTTTTGGTGGTATTGAATTTCGATTGACCTGCACCATGCACTCACCTTTAGTTTAGTTTGCAGATTTTTGTTGCTTAAGGAGCTGAAGGAGCGACCGTCGTTTGGTGGGTTGGCACTTGTGGTTCTATGGTATCTCACAGATACGTTTTGTATCTTAATGAACGTTTTTTGTTTGTTAGTTTCTCGAATTTCTTTACGCGTCCTGCTGCAACACACGCACAAAAAGTGTAAAAAAATATTTGAAAAAAAATTAGAGATTTTGTTTTTTTTTTTTGTGTTAAATGTAGTATGTAGAGTAGTATGTGTGTGTGTGTGTGTGTAGGTAGTTAGGTAGATTCTTAATCCGCTGAGCTGCAATGCCGCGTTTGTTCTCACCGGTCAGTTTCAAGAAACACTTTGAGTGGATGCCAGGCACACGCGGCGTTTATATACACACGCCACAGATCACGGACGTCGGACGCTGGCGTCGACAGAGCAGAGCAGAGCAGAGACAGCAGCGAAATATACAGCGAGAGTTCAGTACTAGGCACGAACATTGGCACACAGAAAACCAACAACGACGACGACGGACACGAGGCAAAAGCAGCGCCCGAAGCACTGGCAGCGTTAGCAGCAGCGAAAGAGAAAGAGATACACACACGAACACGCGTGCGTACGGTCGGGCTTGGGCAGGATCCACTGCTATTTTTTGTAAGTCAATGTTCTAAGCCGGAGTTCTTTCACCATAAATAGACAGCAAGCAGCAGCAGCAACTCTTTGGAGCGTTGTCTATTTTTAAAGTCTCGGCTATTTGTAAGGCTTGCATAGGTGGGTAGGAAAGAGAGCAGGGCAAAAGGCAGCAAGGCAGCAAGGTAGAAGCAGAGGACAGAAGACAGGTGGCGGAAGAGAGTAGGCGGAAGACAGGGAGGCAGAAATCAGAAAAAGAGGGAGGCAGAAGAGAGCAGACAGAGAGACAGCAGGGCCGCAGGTAGAAGACCACAGGGAGGCAAAAGACATGGCGGCTATGGCTGTATCTATTTATAACCCTAACAAGCCAGGATCGGTTCTGCTGCTGCTGCTGCTGCTGCTGCTGTTGCTGCTGATCGATTGCCATAAGCCGCCATTAAACGCAGCACGATTTTCAAATGGAATTGAACGTTGATAACATCAGCAATCAGCCAGGACCAAAGGAAAATGCTTAATTGAGGTTCATCATCGCAGGAGATTGCACAGACACTGAGTGTGGTGGGGGGAAGGGGGGGAAACCGGTATGGAATAAGTATAGACAAGGCGACCAAAACTTGCACAGAGCCAGAGAGAACTTTGCAGCACCCAAGGTACGGGCTAAGTGCATCCATCGATCTACCCAGGGGAAACATCATTAACATAATCAAAGCTTCGGCCTCTCGCCCTTGCTCTTGCTCTTGCTCTTGCTGCTCTCTGCTTCTCTTCTGCTCTGCAGACATTTCTTATTCTTTGGCTATGGCTCTGTGTCTTTGGATCTTCGATCGGTTGCCCATCGATGTCCAGCGTCGCGTCGATTGTAAATATGTACGAGTATATGGACGGTCGCTCGATCGTTGATTATCTTAGAATGATAAATGCCTGTTGGGGCGGCCTTAAAAGGCTGCTGGACCTAGACATGGTACACATGGGGGCTGGGGCTGGGGCTGTGGCTGTGGCTGGGGGTATAGTCTTTTTATAGACTGTGCACTGCAGCGACTGTAGCCATTAAAAGGATAGACCCATGGAAAATTTCCATTCCCATTAAAACACATGCCATAGAACGGCCGATCGGGTCCAACGCTAAGCTGCGTCTCCACACTGCCCCAGAAGTTGTCGCCGCTCGCTCTCTCTTCGCTGGCTTTTTGGTCTTTCAAATTAGGCACCCACGAAGCTGCGAGAAAAAAAGAAAGATACACACACACAGATACAAAGACACAAATGAAGGGAGACCTGTATCTTAGAGTCGTTGTCGTCTTCGTTGTATCTAAGGCCCATCCATCCATCCATGCAATCGTTTAACGGAAAGTTCTGGCAGAGCAGAGAGCTCTTTATTTAAATGTGCTTTGATTGGATTTTGAAATAGTCGCGAGAGATGGTATGGTAATGGATATGGATATGGATGTGGTCGTCGCATGAGTCTGAGTCTCGGATAGTAACAGGCAAAGCAAAGAAAAAAAAAACCAAAAAAGGGAAACCCAATTTAAATCCGAGCTCTCCGGGCATCTGGCTTTTATTATTTTATGGCACTTTTGAGTTATGTTTTTATGAGCCACACATTCTACATTCCTCGCAGCTACCTGTTGCTGATCCTTAACCGTTCGTTGGCTACTGGGAACTCGAAATTGCATATACAAATATATGTCATGCAAAAACCAATAAATATGTACATAGAACACAAATGGAAAAACCTTTATGACTGGACTTGGCTGAATTGTAGATACATTTTGAAGGTCGTATGGTCGCCAGCTGTGGACTGGCTGCCCCTTTGTCGTCACGAAAAAAAAACGAATCTCATAAATAGTTGCTTGTATTTTTGCGTTTCGGATAAAATCATGCATAATTGCAATTATTAAGTTGCTCAATGATTTTGCCATGGGCTTGGGCAACAACAACAACGACAACGACAGTGCTTAGAGATTTGTTCATGGAAAATGCATTCACGCGAAAAGCAACAAATTGCTTGGCTACAGTGATGACCGATAATGAAAGCCTCCTACCTCCAGGTAGGCAACCAGACGCAGAACAGAAAAGGCGTTGGCCAAAGTTAGAAGAAAGCAGAACCAAAACCAGGATCAAGTCCACAACATCCTCATCCCTATCCCCATGCTCCACGTCTGTCCAGGCAGCCGTTTAAATCGGGTCTAGCACTTGGCTTGCTCTGTGGTCAAGTGGCCGTTTAATGGTCGCACATCGCTCGGTTTGGTCGTTTCTTGCGACATTTTTATGCTTTCGACTTGCATGAATATTTGCCGAGGGTTCTGCAGAAGGCCAAAAGAGGATGTGGCAGACAACATGCAGCGGCAAGGCAAGAATGGGAGGCAGCAACAGCAGCAGGCGGACGCAGCAATAAATTGTTGCTACGTTTACTTAGTGGACTGCGGACTGGGGCCTGGAGTTGGATTCTGAAACTGATTCTGAGGAAGGGCAAGGGCATGGGCTATGGCTATGGATGCACTGCCTGCTGTGTATAGTCTGGTCTGCTTTGGTGCTTGCTATCATCATGTAATATAAAATTCGCTTGCGTTGCAATCAACATTAACATTGTCATAGGCTCAACAGCAAAGGGGTTGCTGCAGGGGCGGCAACAGGGCAGCAGCAGCAGCACTATCATCATTATCATTATCATCCTGTAATGCAATTACACAAGTCAACACACAAATGGAATTTCAATAAATTAAATTAGAATTAATTATGAAAATACAAATAAATTCTGTCCATCAAAAAAGTCGCCTAGAAACAGCCACAAAAAGTGATGCAAAGTATTATTTTGTGTTGTGTTGCACAGTGTTGAGTGCATTGCTGATTGCTACATGCCACAAGCAACATGCACACACACACACACACACACACACACGAATGAACACTTGCAACACATGAGCGCAAAGCGCACTCGTACTCGCCGCTTAGCTTTTGCTGACTGACCATGTAGCCAGATATGTATGTATGTACATATGTATGTATGTATGTATGTATGTATGTACATCTGTAAGTGCCGCCTAGACCAAAGCGAACAGGCAACCAACCAACAGTCGCCCTTGTATCTTATGGATGCGTCGCATGCATAACTCTTTGTTATTGGCCTTGAATGTCCTAAGCACGGAAAAGAGGTCATTGTCGCATAATACGCGACGGCCTAGGCCCTCGGCCCTCGGCCTATGTCCAAGCAGCACAAGTCCAGCAGCAGGCAGACCAAGCACAAGTCCAGCAACTGTTGGACAATGCCCAGAGCTCTCTCCCTCTCTCTCTGTCTCTGCCCATCTATGCAAACTTCTGCACATACATAAATATGTATGTACATGGCAGATGCAAGCTGCAAGATACAAACTACAAGAAGCAACAAGCGGCAAGTTGCTGCTTGTATGCACTTTTAGAGATTTTTTTCCTTATTGCTTTTCTTTGCTGTTTTGAAAAAATACTCTTAATTAATGTGAGACCACGCATTTTAATGACTGCAATTGAAGTGCTATTTTCTTAGCCCTTTCTAAGGGCGAACTAAGATATGTCATTTGTCATTTATTTTCAATAATTTCACACTTAATTGGGCTGCAAACAGCACCCACCCCTTAGCCTAGCCCTGCCCAAGGTGAAATTGTCAGCTGTGGTGAGGACCAAGGACTTATTCACCACGCGCTCTCTTTCTGCCATCACAGCGACAAGCGCTGGCAAGAGATGGCACTTCTTGTGTTTGTTGTTGGTACTCGGCAGAGTAAATTCAGCTTGGTACTCAGTCAAGCTATTGATCATCATTAAGTACATCAGTGTGTATGTACAAATGTATGAATGTATGTACATTGTGCAATTGCATTCCAAACACCAAGGACAAGTGGAACACAGAACATTTCCTGCACAGATCTCTGCGCCACAGACTCATCAGCCGATTTGCCAGACAAACAAATATAAAATAAATAAACAAGTTGCAGCCATTTGAAATTTTAATCTCTTGCAGATTGTTTTTGTTTTTTTTGTGTACATTTTTTTGGTTTCGGTTTTGTTTTCTTTTTGCTGTTTTTGTTTTTTGTTTTTTGTTCTTGTGATGTCTGGCTGCTGGGCTGCTGATTGCGTTTGGCTGACTATGCAAGAAGCGCTACATACATACATCCACATGTACAGCACAAGTGGTAGCCGCCGCATCATAGATTAAGACAATTACTTCTGAACATTAATTCTAGGAAATATAAAAAAAAATAATAATAATTATCACTGCGAAAAAATGTTATTTTCAGTCGTCAAAAAATGTTTTTTCTTACTCAAAACCCCAACCTGGTCGTGGACGGAGGAGCAGCGACCGATGGTCCCCAGCCCCACAACCCCCTTGGGCATAACTGAGCCACGGCCAGTCGATGCTGTGAAAATCTGTGAATCTGATTACTCGAATTGTGCGACAGTTCTGCGGCAATGTTCTATGGCCATTCTGTGGCAATTTTTGTGACAGTTGGATACCAATTTGGCGGTCAGTCCCGGCGCTCGCTCACGTGCCACCGATTACAATTAGCATGCGTCACAGCGAGTCCAGCGTTGAGTGACAGAGAAGTGACACATAAATACAACAGAATAGGCAGAAAAGCATCAAATCAGTTATGTACATAGGTACATACACACCTACATAGGTAGATACATATGTATGTGCATATTCAGATGTGTAAGAAAATTAATGAAAATGAATGGCATATGCGGTGGGGGAACCAGAGCAGAATCATTGCGAGCTCTCATCTCATTTCACAACTTGTTTTTGAATCAACGAACCAGGAAGGTGGAGACAGCAGCAGCGGCAGCGGCAGCGGCATGTGTGCACCTCCCCCTAATGCCCCTGCCTTGCCATTGCCTGCCTGAACGCTCTTCCCTTGTCACTGCCTTACCCACACACATGCCTGATCGCCCTTCCCCTTGCCACTGCTTGACAAATGCTCTTCCCTTTACACTGCTTGCCTGAACGCTCTTCCCTTGCCACTGCTTGCCCGATCGCCCTTCCCCTTTGCCACTCCGCCGATCCATCGCTCGTCGTCGCTCCTCTGCTGTGATTTAATTTAATTTTTCTAAGCACACACAAAAACCTAAACTGTTTCACTTTGTCAACTTGTCGCTGTTTGTCAGTTTTGCGACCACAGATACGGCCACAGTCAAAGCATTGATTAAGCTTAATTTGCTGCTTCAAATGCAGGTCAAACCTTTCGAAATCTCTAGACAATCCGCCCAGCATCCAAAGATTTATAACACCGATCCAGATTCAGATGTAAACGTAGATTATGTGTGAAAGATCTGCAAGGGTGTTGGGTGAGTGCACGTGTACTCCACATCCATCCAAGCCCTCACGTTGACTTTTATTGGGCCAGAACTGCGTCTGATAATTGAGTCATGCATTAGCAACGCTTGAACACTCTCTGGGATGGGGCAGATTATTATAATTCCTGGGGTTGCTAATTGGTTAAGTTCAAGTGCATGGAATACCCTCCCAGCACATAATCAGCTTCAGTCTCAGCTTCAGTCCCAGCTTCAGTCTCATCCTCATCCTCAGCTTATTTTCAAGTGCAGCCAGCAGCATTATCTACTTAATTAGCTGCTAATTCAGTGTCAGCAAGTGCCTGTTTTACATAACAAATGCTGCAATTTTGTGCCTTAAAATTCCAACTGGGAAATGGTGCACAATGTACACTCCCAGTAAGAGCAGAGCATATAAGTACTCTGTGCACTTTCATGCACTGCACTTTGCCTTCTGCTGCCTATTTGTGCACTTATTTTGCCCAATTTCTCTCTCTGTTTTGTAGGGTATAAATCCACAACGGACAGCGACATTTCGCAAGCCGCAACCACAGTTTGCTTTTCTATTTCTATTTTGAAAGTGGTCGTGGTCGTAGTCGTAGTCGGTCGCTAATTGAATTCAATTTGCATGCATTAGTGCCGGAGCCCTCCCCCCAGAGCAGAGCCCAAAAGCTAAGCTGTGGAGGAGCTAAATCTGTGTCTGTATCTCAACTCAACTCAACTCTCATCTCATGCAGCGGGACTCTCTAGCCAAACTCTGACTCAGAAAGAGGAGCCTCCTACAAGGGCATACTCGCTTCGGTGCTATGCCCAAGTTGCTGGCTAATTATTTGTACAGCCCATGACAGATCATTCTGTCACCGATCTGATTTGATTTGACGTTTTTTTGATTTGCGTATTTGCGTGCCACTGTTTAGATAATGATTAAGCTAGAGTCAGTTGTGGCAGCAGATTTCATGTGATTTCCGTGTGTCATGGCTGCTGACTAATACTCGGAATTTGTGGTTTAAAATTGAAATTCGTTTGAACCATCCAACAGCAGGAGCAGGAGCAGACGCAGACCAATCAATAAGCATAACAGGTTGCAGGTTGCAGGTTGCAAGTTGCCAGTGGCTCCCTTGCTTGCCACGCTTGCAGGGCCGGTTTATTATTTTCTATTTATAGTGTGGTCTCTGCCAACCATTCTTGGTTCTAAAATTGGAAACGCTAATGGTAATTGGTAACTCTTCTGCTCACTCTCCAAACGCAGTGTCCCAACATTAAGCAATATTTAATGCGCCAGCGTCGAGAGCAGAGTTTGGACACGGCCGATACGGCCGATGGGCTATCGAATGCCCCCTCCATTGCCCAGATCAATGGCTGTCTGCAGGACAGGCGGAGCAGCGAAGAGAGCGAAGATTTTCTGCCCGAGGCGGTGCACCAGCTCGGCCATGAGGGTCAGGATGTGCTGCGAAAGTTGCTTGAAATTGAGCCGCGACAGCGCATACGCAGTGTAATGGCGCTGCAAAGGATAGCGCTATACAAGGGCTACAAATTGACGTCCAAGCAGCTGCTGAGCGTAAGTTGCATTCAGGGATGATGGATCCTTGAAGATGGATTGCTGACCTTATTTTGATTGTTTGTACAGCTTTCGCCGCTAGAGATTATCAAACGGGATGGCGTACGAGTGTATGAGGACAGCCAGTTTGATCCAATAGCCAGCCAGTTGGCGATCAAAGCATTCCAGGACTTCTGACAGGAGACACTTTTTATGCGACGAACATGAGCTGCAGCTGCAGCTCCTTCAGCCATATTTACAAAATTCGAAAACCTGCTCCGGGAGAGTACACCCATCGGGACCACAGAATGTGCCTCGAATCCGACGCAGATCTTACTTTCCAATCTTATTTCTTAAGCACTTAAAATAACTTTGAATCATTCTGATGCATTTTAATACAGGTTAAATCATTTTGAATCAGTTAAAATCACAGTGATTAATTTTGAATAATTCCAAATCGACAGGAATCACTATTTTTGATTATTTTAAATATCTTTGAATAATTTTAAAGCATTTTAATTAGCTTTGTTTAACTTTCCAGATCCCTCCGAATCATTGTTTTTGTACTTTTAAACATCTTTATAGAATATTTTTGTTGGCTATTGTTTGGTGGACTTTCCCAAATTGTTGTTTTTTATTGGAATAATTAGAACAAATTTTACAATTGAGTAATGTTGTGTCGTTATTGGTCAAGCTAAAGGGGCATATTAATGAAATTAAACTAAAATGTAAGGGTAAGTTTTTATTATATCTATGCGATTGTGCAGACCCATGAAATGCATTCGAAGGAGGCACTTTCTTTAGGAATGCGAAAAAGTTCTTGATAGATTTCTACGCAAAAAAAAACTCATATTTTATCGTGCTTTTGGTACCCGTTTCCTTTTGCTAAATATTTAAAAAGTTTCACCCACGCACGCACTCTTTTTGGGGGATGAATAAAAGCTTCAACAGCTGCTTCAAAGCTTTCACTCTCTCTGTCTGGCTTGGCTCTCTTGGCGCAAGGTCGTCGGCAGCAGCAGAAGCAGCGAAGAACCGGGAGAGGGAGACAGAGCCAAAGCAAGAGAGAAAGAGAGAGAGAGACCGACTGAAGCGTGCGAGCGAGTGGAGCAGCAGTTGCTGGTGGCTTTGCTGGAAATTGTTGCAGAGAGCCAGCAAGCAGCAACAGCGGCAGCGCAGTTACAAAAATTCTTAAACAATAAATGCAAACACACACACACTAGCACAGACTAGAACACACGTGCTTTAAGTACATTTAGATACGTGAAAAACAACAAACAGTTCCCAAAATTCGTTTTTCGACTTGTGCAAAAAGTGAAAGAAGAGGAGCAGCAAAACAAAAAGGAGCAGCGGAGGAGCGGAGGAGCGAGCGAGGGAGCGTGGCCACAGAGTGCAGCTGAAGCTCTCAGAAGTACATAAGTATGTATGCATGTACATGCATAGTATGTATGTACACTCAAATGGATGTATGTACATGCCAAAGATTTTCGAAACTGCATAAAATATAAATCACAGGCGAAAGGGAATAAACAGAGACACATTCAGCCAATATGTCGCTGGTGCACACATTTCTCGGCACCTGGGAGGTAAGCAGAGCTAGCCCCGCACCGCCCCCGCAACAACACTCACCACCCCTTGCATATTTTTTGCCTACTTAACAGATTGTCTGCTGCACTTTTGAGGGCAAGCGTGAGCTATCCGGCCTAGAGGGGTGAGTCAACAGACCAGCGACTGCAATTGTTTGCATTTTGGCATCAATTTATTTACTTATTTGTTTAGCATCAAGTTTCGACTGGATGATACGAGCGATATTACATGGTATAATGATCTGGTCAGTCCGATACCTGAAACTCAAGACTGCGGCACTTACTGCGGCGATTCGGCGAGTGTTTTATTTAGCTGCGAGACCTTCGATGTGCACGAAACGAATCCTCGGCTCGTATTTGGTGCCTTTGCCGGTCACAGCATTGAGTTTAGCGTGAGTGAAACCCCAACAAAATACAGTACAAATTGGTGATTAATTATCTTATTGCATTTATTGTTATTGCTTAGACCAACACCTTAACGCCGACTGATACGCTGGTGCTTAGCTGCGAGAATTGGTATGCCGTCGAGTGCAAGCGATTGCAGGATGGCCAGGCGGCTGGCCAGGAGCAACAATTGAGCTTTGGCGAGGCCCTGCAGGAGTCCTACTTCAGCGATGTGGTGGTTAAGAGTGCCAGCGGTCTGGAATATGCGCTGCATGCCTCCATCTTACGCCTCAACGGATTCGATTGCAGCATGTGCGTCAATAGCGCGCCAGCATCAGCTCGACAAGTGGTCAAGAGTGGTGTCGGTGCTGGCCACTGTCATAGCGGTCCCAATACACCCAATCCCATACGAATTTCTGTGGCACCCGCCGGCGAGGATGAGCATCAAAAGTCATTGCCGCGCTTGAATCTATCGCCCATTTATCTACAGCCACCCTGTGATTTCCAGACGCTCTCGGGCCTGGGTCTGGGTGCGCAACGAGTCCATCAATACAGCAGCAGCTTCAACTGCCTCAGTAATGGCAATGACTCAGAGCCAGCAATCGGCATGGGTACGGGCACTGGCACGGGACTGCTCAGCGTTGAGTGTGGCGGAGGCGGCGGCGGCGGCGGCGGCGGCATGTATCGTTTTCCACCCACTTCGCACTCCGATTCGCATCTGGAAACGTCGCAGTCCCACTGCAAGAATATATTCAATTTCTGTCAGGATCTAATAATACAGCCAACGCCATCACCGTTGCTGCCAGCTGGCGGACTAAGCGCCGGCCTTGCTGTCTGCAGCATTAGGCGACCGCCGTTGTCGCCATATCGTGCACGCAGCCCCTCACCATTTCCCAGCTCCATGGACACGCCGCCATCGTCGCCACTGACGCCCGTGGGTGTGCTGTGCAATCTGCCCACATTCCTCCTAAGTCCCATCCTCCACTGGCTGTACACGGAGTCTATGCTGCCGGACCTCGAGGAGGATGTTTGCGAGAAGCTCATCAACTTTGCCGAATCGCAGCCATCGCTGACCAAATTGGTGGAGCCAACGCGCAAGTACCTGAGGCTGATGAAACTCAAGAAATGTGAGTGGCAGTCAACCAGCCAACAGTTCTATAGTGATCTAACTTCTCTGATCCTTGTTTCAGTTGTGGTCAATGTGACTATGAATCTACATGGCATACTCAATCGTGTCATACAGCGCATCAATCCCGTGAGCATTTCACACGAGCCCGCCCAGCTGTGCAGCACGTTTCAGGATGCATTCCGTGATTGTGCCATAGGTAAGATCTCGTCTGCCATATAGCTATAAGATAACTTGCTCATAGTTTACTCATTCTGCGTTTGTTCGCTTTCTCTAGGTTGTGCCAAGGTGCTGCAATTCTGTAATATTTTCATCACGGATGCCACACACACGCACATGACGCGCTACCAAAAGAATGAAATTGTCAAATATATTCGCAGTCGCATACCAATATTCATGTCACAAGTGCAGCAGCTCTTACGCAACGTTCTGGGTGTATTTGTGGGCCTTACAGTGCAGGAGAAGGCAGAATTGGTGAACTATTTAGTACCTGAAGTGAGTCACAGAGAATTTTCACATGGCAAAGTCTTGACAGGAGCCACTGTTTTTTTTTTTTGTGTTCCACAGATTGAATCAACATTATTTGTATTAACTGCTGTGATAGAGGAAATCAAAAACTCGCTGGAAATCATGTGCAAGGTATGTAATGAGTTCTGAATAATGACTTCTGGTAGCTGCCCAGCTGATTGTTCCCTTCTGTCATTTTTAGGACCTTAAGTGCTCGCATTTGGAATTGCCACAGCAACAGCAGCAGGCTGAGGATGCCATTGTCATGCAATTGCATTATGTGGAGTCAAGCGGTGCTGATCCATCGCCACGTCCACGGCGCGGCGCACCCGTCGGTCTGACGCTCTACGACAATCACATGGACAAGAAGCGTTTGAGCTCGGCCGAGAATGATTTGAAATTTGTGCTCTACATGTACGAAGTGCGTAAAATGCGTGACATTTATGGACGGATTGTGGCTGCCCTCGATATAATTAATGATAAAAAGTAACTACCATCCCAGAGCTTTGGAAACTATTTTACTCTAAATTGATGTTAATAATTGTATAGAACAACCTTCTGCGAGATGGATTTCCTCAGCAAGATTAGTACAATTAATCAAAATATGGAGCAGCTTATTGTCGACATTCCAGCCTACATTTTTATAGTGGAGAACCTATCCGATCGCCTCGACGACAAATTGGGTTGGAAAGAGTTTAAATTTTGCTTCAAGCTGGCCACCAGTCAAATAGTGAGTGAACATCATAGCAAACCAATAGCTGCAATCTAAATATGTACTTCCCCCCACAGAATGGCGTTATAGCAAAACTTTTGGATCACAAGAGTGCCCTGAGAGATGCCATCAGTCAGATATGTTTGCTGGTGCATAAACAGGAATTTACGCAATCCCTCATCGAGCTGGGGCTACTGGACAGCGGCACGAGCGGGGGGCCAAGCGATTTGAAAATGGCCGATCATGAGAATAATCTAAATGTGGGCCTAACCGATGCGGATCATCAGCTGCTGCTCAATCATCAGCATTACTATGACTACAAAAGCATTAAGGTTTGTCCCGCTTGACTCTTTGTATCACTTCAATCTCTAATCTCTTTCAAATCTCAGCTAAATCTCATTCGTCATCTGTGCGAGCCACCAACGGCAGCCAACAGCAATCTCTCGAAGAATGCACTCCGGCTGCTGCACTCCACGCAGCTGGCGGATATGGAGTTTGAGGTGCATACGCTGCATGCAGCCAGCGGTAATGCTGTGGACACAGAGGCCATAACAACATCCATTGACGGTGGTGAACCTTCGTCATCAGCGGCGTTGCAGGTGCACAGCTTTAAGGCGCATCGCGTAATTGTCGCTGCACGCTGCGAATGGTTCAAGAAGGCGCTAATGTCCGGCATGCAGGAGTCCATCAATCGGAAAGTGATCATCACAGACACCTCGCCGGTGATCTTTCGTCGTTTGCTGCTTTATCTCTATGGTGCACCCATTGATCGTACGGTGGGTGCCGAACAGATTTGTGAGCTCATGCTATTGGCAGATCGTTATTCAATAGATGATCTGAAAGTAAGTGACTCCTGGCCGCCTGCCTCCCTTTAAGCTCTGAACTGAGAACTTTCTGCCTCTATAGGAACTGTGCGAAAATACTCTGTACTCGCTAATTGACGAGGACTCGGTGGTCTGTCTGCTGGGCATTGCGGATAGATACATGGCCACGGCACTGAAATCGAAATGCCTGTCATTTCTATCGCAGCATTCACAGCTGACCAAGTGCGAAATATTTAAGGAATTGCCGCAGACCCTACAGGTGAGCGGAGTAGCAACTGAAATGCACATTGAAGCTCATCTTTTGTTTGAACTGATTTCAGCTAGAGGTAATGGATTTAATACATTGGTTCGGTCGTGTTTCGGAGCCATGGAATGATCGTGGTTTTAAGCCGCGCAGCAGTTCTCGACATAGCCTGAAGAGTCCATCAAAGCCACGTTCGCGTTCCCGCAAGTCATCGCCATCCTACATGTGACGCCGGCAAAGCGCCACAGAACACACGACGAATGCCAACTTCTTGTGATAATTCTAGAAGACTTCGGGAATCGAAAATGGTAGTCTGTAAGCGTGACACGGATGAACAATGGGAAAGAGTATAGGGTAATGGGGAAACATTAAGGAAATGGTGGGATGCACAAGGCTAAATATGTACTAGGACTTTTCACTCTGGACTCTGGTCTCAGTAGCATTAATCAAGCCAAAAACAAATTCAAAACCAAAAAAAGAAATGGCAAAGAAAATGACCTGATTTTAATAACAAAACAATTTTATTTAGTTCACTAAAAGAAAACAAAAACCATACGTATTGTAGATAGAAATCATTTTGATCATTATCGATAGGTATTATTCATAAATGTACTTTTGATCAAAATGCAAACAAAGAAAAAAGATACATTGAAATTGAAAAAATGAAATTTTGTCTCCAAAATTAATTGATGTACGAGTAAAGAATTTTTATAAATGCAAAAATGAACTTATAGATATTGTATTGGTATTGGTATTGGTATTGTGTATTGTATATCTTCGACTATAAAAATTGCATAGTATTTTATTCGCATTCGATGGACCGACCGATGCTCATGTTTTTCGCTATGCGGTTCCCGAATGTGTTTGTATTTTTGACATTTACATTGTAGCGAGGTAATATCTACTACTACTTACTACTGTGTTTGTTATGGTAAAACACTTATGAAATTTGTAAAAGATTAACATTAAAATTAACGTTAACATTGGTATTACAAATTATGTTACCGGAAACATAAACAAAACAAAAACTCCTAAAATGTGTGTACTACTCGATTGGACTTGACTTCTTTAGCGTTTAACGAACTGTAATTGTAACTGTAACTGTAACTGTAACTGTAACTATGATCTGTAACTGTAACTATTAACTGTTAACTATAATCTGTAAACTGTTTTTGTTTCGGTGTATTGACTGGGACCCGGAACCCAATTTCCAAAGATGTGTGTTAGGCCTATAAAATACTTGTAGTCTGATTTGATAGTTAGAAACTTGTAGTTCTGTAACTGAAAACAAAACTGTAACGAAATGTAATTAACAATGCAGGCTCTCTGTACCAGTGATCTGAGAACTTATTGGTAAACATTTAAGTGCCAGTAATCTGTGCGTAGAAAAGAAAGTGAATTGGATCGGTCCGTTAATGGGTCAGTTGTTTCTGGTATTCCATTATCTTCAGAAAAATATGCATAATGTGTACTTTTTGTACATGCATTACGATCAAATCACAGCTTATATATTAACACAGATTATTTTCCAACAATAATTATAATTTGTATTTTTATCCTATGTGCTATATGTACATAATAATGACTTAAACATTCGTGTACAAACATTACGTTTATAATTGATTATTATAGGTACTTAAAACATTTCTTGTTGTATTTTTAACAAAACAGAACACAAACCAAAAAAAGGGTCTTATTAATTCTGAAAAATGAAATAAATTAAAATCAGTGTGTACATCATTTGTGCATCATTCGGGGGCTCGAACTTGTATCTTATTTATCTATAAATAAATTAATTTTACCGGTAAAGCCCTACACTCAAATGTGCCCTGTTCCCAGTATGACCAAAGTGGCCAAAGTGCATGATAACTGGCAACACTGTTTTATGTTTGTTTGCTTCTTACGTACTTTTGATATTTTTTAGCTGATTTATCGATAACGCTCATACAAACGCAAAAATGAGTTGAACGTAATTTAGATTGACGTGTGACCAGTTGAACATTTATTTTTTGTTTACGTTTACACCGCTGAATTAACATTGCTTTTATAAAAGCGTTTGTCACAGCGGCGTGGCTGACATAGCGGTTCGGCGTGTACAAACCTTGGATCTGGCAAAGCGATCCGCATCCCATTGCAATTAGAATACGCCTTTGGACGTCCAGTAATTCTTTCGAGCCGCTTCACTCACTTGTCATTGTCGGTGAGAGTCTTTTGATCACCTGGTGGTTCTCTCTCTCTAACACAGACACGCATGCAGGCACACAGTTAAATACGCACACCAACTCAGCAGCGTCAGCGCCAGCAGCAGCGGCAGCGGCCATTTGAACCGAAAATTCTTCTTTGAGCCGCTTCTCGTTGTTGTGTTGTGTGGTGCTGCGCTCTTCTACGTGAGCGAGGCAAAGCGAGGCGTTAACTTGCTCTAATCACGGTGTGCGGTGTCGGCATCTGGCTGGCTTTGTTAGCTCTTACATTGGTGGCCGCGTAGCCGCTCGCTTAGACACGTCAACAGAATCGCAGATAGAATTGAGTTCTGGTACAAAGATGCGTGTTAGCAACATCCGCAGCGGCCGCATATGCCGAGTGGCCCTTTGCCTGCTGGTCATCCTGCCGCTGCTCTATCTCCTGGCCAACTGGAGCGACCACCATAAGCGCGTCGGTGAGGCCTATCACTCCCGTTTTGGCGGGCCCAAATTCAGTCACCAGCGTCTGGAGGGTCGGCCCCACGAAGTGCCCAAGCTAGTAGAAGGTAAGCCAACATTTGTCTATGCAAATATCGCCACCGGTAAGCAAATGCAATTGGGTGCTGTTTGTACAACTGCTGCCCAATTCGAGTAAGATGCACTAAACACATATTTTCACAGGCCTTGGCAACTTCGAGCCGAAAGATCTGAAGCCACGTAGTGGACCAGGGGAGAATGGGGAGGCCCACAGCCTGTCGCCGGACAAGAAGAACGTTGCGGATGACTCCGAGATGGAGTATGGAATGAACATTGCCTGCTCCAATGAAATTTCCATGCATCGATCGGTGCGCGACACGCGCCTCGAGGAGTGCAGGCACTGGGACTACCCATACGACCTGCCACGCACCAGCGTCATCATTGTCTTCCACAACGAGGGCTTCTCGGTGCTGATGCGCACCGTCCACTCGGTGATTGACCGCTCGCCCAAGCACATGCTCCACGAGATCATCCTCGTGGACGACTATTCGGACAAGGAGGATCTTCGCAGCCACCTGGACGAGTATTCGAAGCAATTCAATGGCCTGGTGAAAATCATACGAAACAAGGAGCGTGAGGGCTTGATACGGACGCGATCCCGCGGCGCCATGGAGGCGACTGGTGAGGTGATTGTCTTCCTGGATGCCCACTGCGAGGTGAATCTCAACTGGCTGCCACCGCTGCTGGCGCCCATCTACCGGGACCGCACCGTTATGACCGTGCCCATTATCGATGGCATCGACCACAAGAACTTCGAGTACCGGCCCGTGTACGGGACGGACAACCACTTCCGCGGCATCTTCGAGTGGGGCATGCTGTACAAGGAGAACGAGGTGCCACGCCGCGAGCAGCGACGAAGAGCTCACAACTCGGAACCGTACCGCAGTCCGACGCATGCCGGCGGGCTGTTCGCCATCAATCGCGAGTACTTCCTGGAGCTGGGCGCCTACGACCCCGGCCTGCTGGTGTGGGGCGGAGAGAACTTCGAGCTGAGCTTCAAGATCTGGCAGTGCGGCGGCAGCATCGAGTGGGTGCCATGCTCACGCGTCGGCCACGTCTACCGCGGCTTCATGCCCTACAATTTCGGCAAGCTGGCCAGCAAGAAGAAGGGCCCGCTGATCACCATCAACTACAAGCGCGTGATCGAGACTTGGTTCGATGACACGCATAAGGAGTACTTCTATACACGTGAGCCTCTCGCCCGCTACTTGGACATGGGCGACATCACGGAGCAGCTGGCCCTCAAGAAGCGACTCGGCTGCAAGTCGTTCCAGTGGTTTATGGACAACATCGCCTACGACGTCTATGACAAGTTCCCCGGCCTGCCGGCCAACCTTCACTGGGGCGAGCTGCGATCGGTGGCCTCCGAAGGCTGCCTGGACTCCATGGGCCACCAGCCACCGGCCATTATGGGTCTCACCTACTGCCACGGCGGCGGCAACAACCAGCTTGCCCGCTTGAATGCAGCCGGCCAGCTGGGCGTCGGTGAACGCTGCGTCGAGGCGGATCGCCAGGGCATTAAGCTGGCCGTCTGCCGCCTGGGCACCGTCGATGGACCCTGGCAGTACAACGACCACACCAAGCATCTCATGCATCGCGTCCACAAGAAATGCATGGCCCTGCACCCTACCACGCAGCAGCTCACGCTGGGCCACTGCGATGTCAACGATAGCTACCAGCAATGGTTATTCAAGGAGATACGTCCACGCTGGTAAAAAGCGGGAGGAGAAGCAAGTGCAGGAACAGTAGGAGGAGTACGCAGCGGAGGAGCTAATGCAAAAATCTCAATAGGGTTTCACCAAGGTCGAGCGCGTGGAAGTTGTCGTGGAGAGGGTAGGGCCAGAGTCAGAGCAGGAGGCAGATTTTAGACAAAAGCAATTTAGTGAAAATGAGAAATGAGAAATGGAATTGTTGTTGGTTTTATAGCGCATTTACATAGACACACATATACACACACGCACTGTTAGGGCAGGAGGCACATGACAGGAGACTGGCATCTCATTCGGCAGGTGGCCCTGGTCCGACCAAGGCATCAAATGCCATGGCAATATTAGGTTCAAACACACAACTCAAAAGCAACCACAAAAAGAATCGATAAAACGATATTAAGGATTTCAAATCGAATTGTGAGAAGAGAATATGAGGGGCGTAAACACCCCCCCTAAATATTGTACAATATAATCTCAAAACCCTCAATGGCAATTCATTATCAAAACCATTTTACAAATATGTCTTGTTACTCGTGAAACATTCAATATTCGTAGTCACTTATAATAGCCATGTCAAGTACTTTTAAGGATCTTCAAGATCAACTTTATGTCTGAATGTTGGTAGAGAAATAATCGAAATTTGAATTGGAAACGTGAACTAGCTACATGTAGAATTAGGGGATTGCAAAGCTTGCCAGCAAACATTACATTCAATTAATTATTCAAGAACCACAATCAGGAACTAGGGCCGCTAGGCTAGAGGGATTTCCATGTCCATGTCCTTCCATGTCATGTTTTATAAGTGCGCCAGAGTGTGGGAGAATGCGATTGATGGAGATGAAAACGAGGGAGACAGAGAGAGAGAGAGAGAAGTCGTTGTGCAATAGAGATAACAGTATACACATAGAATATGACAACGGGTCGCAGATTGTTTTAATGCTTAATGATTGCCAACCCAAAACACGCGAAACACAACAAAACAAAACACAACAATGTAATTATGCTTAGTCGTATATGCTATTCCTGTAATTCCGATTCAGATACAGATACAGATTTACAGATACTTCCCATATTTCGATGATGCTGATGCTGATGCTGTCACATTCCAGGCAAGTCGTCCAGTCCGGTATCCAATCAACCAGCGGGAGAGAGAGAGAGAGAGAAGCTTTCTCATCTCATTCTTTCGTTCTCGGTTATTCCCTTTGTACTAAGCAATCGATATTCGATATCGAAATTCGATCAACTTGTCGACTGGCCAACATCTAACGGTACTGCTTATATTGTACGATTTTTGAAAATAATATTTTACATTGAAATGTAACTCTAGAGTTATCGAATAAGTCTGAATAATAGCATAGAAATAAAAAACGTTTTCTAAACTCTTTACCTTGTAAATGCCACCCAAATGTAGTACATTTATTTTCCCATCTATGTACGCATCTATGTAATGTATATGTCCCCAAGGTTTGGGTAATATCTCTGCTATTATGGGAACCACAAGTGAGTCTTAATTTAAGCAAATGATTCAGAACTGATACTGGAATCAAGACAACAACATCGATTGGCAATTTGGGTCCGATGCGATTGGTAATTCTGTTGGTGGAGAGCACGGCCAACCCTCCAGAAGTTGCTCGAATTGTTGCTGAGTTCCAGGGAAGTCCACTGCAGATAGGAACGTTCTGGGAAACAACTTTCGTGGCATGATCGGGTGGGCGAAGTAGTAGCCAGGGTGTTGACGGGGCAACCATGAGGTTGCGTTAAATTTCCATCGCTCAATCAAAACAGAACTCTTCTCCGAGTGTGTTTGTTGTTGACTGCTGGGTCTACCGATGGGTCTGACCTGTTATCTCCAGGCTAAACACGAGCCTATCGTAGGGGAGGGCGGCGGAGTGGAACCCTTGATTAGATCTGAAGGCAATAACACCAAAATTGTTCCGTTTAATTGAGTGAAGTGGGCTTGGGGCGGGACGTGGGGATGTGTTATCAGTGTTATTGCGGCTACCCTTCCACCGGGTAAGCCCAATACCCAAATATGTGGCAACCTCTGGCACTGCTCAGCTGCTGGCAATGTATTCCCCACGTCGGCTTGACGGCCGCTCTTCTCCTGTGTCTAATCCCACATTGTCAGTTGCTTCACTCGAAATTGGCAAGTGGGCGATAAGGAGGCTTCGACGCTGCCGTCGCAGCTGTGGCCGGAGCCGGAGCCGAAGCCGAAGCCGGAAGCGGGGAGGGTGTGTCACTCCGAAAAGGCGAATCAAATCAAATACCTCTCCACTTAGTCGGAGGTGCCTAGTATAAATAGTAAACGCAGCCAGACCTTGGCTATCATTACGCGACTTACATTCGCCGCAACCACTGCAGGAGCAACCTTTTTCAAGATCTTCAAGAGCAATCCCCTCTCAACATGTGCAAGCTGAGTCTCTGTTTGGTGGTGGCCCTGTTCGGCTGCCTTGTGGCGGCCAGTCCCGCCCGCCAGCTGGATGGCACCACCTTGCGCGAGATCACCGTGGTCAAGGATGTGCGCTCGTTTGCCGCCCAGCGGCCGGGGCTCAAGATACAGCGTCTGGCCAAGCAGCCGGCCATCGCTCGCGGCGGCGTCGAGTCTGTGCGCTACACTCTCGGCTCTCGCACCACCGGTAAGTAGTGATCCTGCCCCACCACCCAAAAGCAGGCTGCGATCGAGACTAATCGTTGCATACTCTCAGGCGACGGCTTGGTGGCCCAGGGCGCCGATGTCTTCTCGTATCCGAGCTCGCAGGATGTGAGCGTGCAGCTGACATACCCAGAGGAGGGCGTCGGAGCGATTGTCACCTACGTGGAGCTGATCTGCACACAGGACAACAGCGAGGGCAACGCCTACGTGGTGGCCGGCGGCATTGGACAGCGCTTCATTTCGATCATTCTGGAGGCCAGCCAGACCCGGAACTTCTCCTACCAGGCCCAGTACTATGGCCAGAAGTAGGATCGAATGCCGCCCCCACTGACCATGTCGCATGACACCAAATATATGTATCTATAAATGTTTGAAAGTGAAACGAGCAACAACTCATCATTGAATGGCAAACGACATGGCGGGATCATATATCACCCATCCACCAGCGATGAGGGGTATTGGTTAATCTTTTGATTTAATTTGAAATTGTTTTCGTCGCTGCTCACGCGCCTTCCACTTGAAGTAGACCTCAGAGTCATTGCCGTAAATCTGTGCCAGCCACTCGCCAGAATCTAGCAACTGAATCTGAATCAGAATCTGATCGGGGACTGTCCGATTGGGTTCTGGCAACGAACAGAAATTCAGCCAGATCTTTGTGGATCTACGACATGTGTGCGATGGGAATTCCGTGTTGCGTCATTCAAAGAACTCCAGGGAATACCCTGGCAGGTCTGAGAAATGCAGAAAGTATCCACTTCTCCCAATCGACATGGACAGGGACAGGGACAGGGACAGGGACTGGGGATGGGACTGGGACTGGGCACGACTCATTTTGCGTAGACGAACAAGCAATTCAGTTTGTTGATTGGTTTATTTGTTCATTAGATTGTTTGCCATTATGCATATCAAGGTTAAGATTGCCAGCCAGCCAGCTAATAAGCAAATAAACAAACAAACACAACCTATACACTATACACAGGGAAGACAAAATCAATTATCGCACAACGCACATTGAAAGTTTGAAGCAAAAGATTGCCAGAGGGCATATGTACATATGTATCCTGTTGCCAAAATTCAGGCAGTGAATCAGTGAATCATCAACACACGTCTTCAGCCAATCGTCAATTTCACGGCAGCGTGTTCCTACGATTGAATTAGATCCGTTGCGATCCGTTGGGATGCGATATGCCGATTAGCCACTCGAAAACTCTTTGGCCTATTTATAGAAATTGTGCAAGGAACAATACGAGTGCGGGAGCAATTATGGGAAATTATGAGCGGGGAGCTGGGGAGCCCATAGCCAATTCCAGGGCTTATCGTTCGAATTGTCGCGCCTTATCTGTGTGGCTGACCGCCGATAAGGACGGGCATATAAAACAAGCGACCCGCAGCTAAGGCACACCCAAACCCCACAGAGAAACGGAAGGCATTAGAGCACTGCCACTCCACAGACACGACCGTAGCCGCACTTCTTCTTTTTTTTGTTGTTTTGTTGTTTTTTCGGTCTGTGAACTTTATTCAGTGAACTTTGAGGTCTGTAATGTCGCTGCATTTGGCCCTGCTCCTGTGCCTGGCGATGGCTACGGTGCTGGCCCAGCCACATGCCCGCGCCAGTGATCTCTACTACACGGACATCACTCCGGTGACGGACGACAGCCGCTTCACCACCCTCAATCCAACGGCTCAGCTCTCCGAGCTGAACAAGGTGAAGCACTCCAAGGGAAACATTGTCTTCACCGCCGGTGAACGCATCTCAGGTGAGATTGAACGAACGATTCTGGCTGTGATCTGGCGATCCTGATCCTAACCAATCCTTTTCCCTAGGCGATCGCCTGGTGGTGAATCACTACGATGACGAGAGCTTCGCCACCGCCGTGGACATTGAGGTGCTGATGAGCTATCCCGCAGGATCGAGCACGGGCGTGACCCTCACCTGCATTGAGATATACGTGGATACGACGGCCAGCGATGCCGGCGGCTATCTGACCAGAGGTGGCATCGGAGCGACCACAGCCGAGATTCTGCTCACCTCCAACCTGACGCGCAGCTTCGTCTACGAGACCTTCTTCTATGGATACTAGAGGGCGTAGATCGCCCCTCAGATCAGAACTTCCTTCAGATCAGTATAGAGAGCAAGAATAAAAGTTTCGCTTGGAATCCAACTGTGATCGTCCTGCCGCAGCCCCACTTGCAGTAGTATTACTAGCTTTAGATCCTTCAAATTAAAGAAACAATTTCGAACCCAAACATTTCGGAAACCCATCAAAACTGTTTCAGGGGAGAAAGAACTCACCCGCTCCACAATGGATCATGTGATCCAATAGATAAGAGAGACCCAACCAACAGACTCTCACATATCACAGGAGTGAGTTGGAATGCCATTGGGTTGATTTAGTAGTGCCATTCGGCTATGGGTCATTTTTGCAGTGCACCAAAATTAGTTGGCAACTGACAGCTGATGAATAATGAACTCAAAACAAGACTCACACACAATCTGCAATTAGTTGATATTCTCTCACAATCTTATCATTCAGTTCTTTAGTCTTCAAACTGGCAAAATCCAACTGTCAATTATTGAGAATTAATTCCCACTGTCAATCATTTATATATGGCAAATATTTGCTGCATCGGAGGCTGCTGATAAGCCTTAGCCTGTGATACACAGAATATATAATATAATAAAATATACTTTTATGTCGCGATTATGGGCATAAAGCTTTCAGTTCTCGGTTCTCTGAAGAGTACGACAGCCAACGGAAGATGGCGTGGATGGGACTTGGGTGTTGGCTGATGGCCATGGTCATGACGGTCGCCGCTGTGCAGTATCCCAGGCTATCGCAACTGCTTACAGGTACCCTCAGAACTCTGTGCCATATCAACAGACTAATCCCTCCTCCATCCACTCAACTAGAGGGGGAAGCGTGTCCCAGTCTTCCCGGCTACCCAGACAGCAGCTGCCTGGGCATCAAGAACTGTCCCAATGTCGATTTGTATATTAGTTCGGGCAGACTGACGCTGAACGAGGTGGTGCAGTGCGGAATTGGCGCCTACATGGAGCTCGTTTGCTGCCCCAAACAACCGCCCAACATGCAGACGACGTTTGTGTGGGCTTACTCTTCAGGATTGACACAATCAATGGCCAAGACTAAAGGTGCGTTTCCTCCACAGGAGACCGCTCTCCCACACCGAATACATGTCCGAACGTGGGCGTAGGCTCTATCCCCATGTGGCCTCGCTGCGGTACTTGAATCCAGTGACATTGGACTCGCAAATCTTTCGCTGCACGGCCTTCCTACTGAAGGAGAACTTGGCTCTCAGCTCAGCCGCATGCGTTGGCTCCGTGATAGCAGACCCCAACCATGTGCAGCTGGGCATAGAAGAGCCCTTCAAGGACATCCAGGAGATCAATGTGAGGCGCAAAAGAGTCTCTAGATATGTATCTAGTCTGAGCCAAATATTCGTCACAGAACATTACGCACCACAACAACGACCTCGTGCTGATCCGCATGAGAAATGGCTACGGCAGGGAGTTCATTGCGGAGATCTGTAGTCAGGCGGACGTGGACAATCGACTGAAGCTGGTGGCTGTGGGTTTCTCCCAGAAGAACGGTGAGTCCACATCAGTGCAGATTTCCAGCTCCAGCTTTTATTATCTTAGTTGAATTCCACAGAAGAGAACTGTCAGTGGTTCGAGAAGGAGGTGACCATCTTCACGTTCCACTCCTGCGATCGTGTGAGCATCAATCGTCCCCTCAGTGGCATCGACGCCAACAATCACTTGTGCGTAACACCCGGCATGGAGAGGCAGAGCTCTACGCCCGGAGCCTGTGTGGACTGCCTGCGCGGCAGTGCCAGCGGCCTGCATGCGATTCGGCGCGATGGCAGCGTCTGCCTGCTCGGCATTGCCACACCCACCAGCAAGTCCTGCACCAGCTCCACGCATCCGCTCTACTACACCAGCCTGCTCGGCCCCAGCAACAGAAGATTCCTCAACAGGAGCTAGGATCAGGATCAACTGGAATTTGCATGCAATAAATATTGTCTCAATCGATCTCTCCGCGTGTCTTTCCCTGCCCCAACAGGCATTCTTTCCCCGTCTACAGCATCATTTCCGCATCTCAAAGTGCTTTGCTCTCCCTCTCCCTCTCTCTCTCTCTCTGTTCAGTGCTCAGCGGTTTGCCGGACCAGTTCGGGGGAGAGCAGAGCGTCAGCTGTCAGTTGATCGAGAGCCGCGCAGTCGTTCGGTCAGTATCGAACGCCCAACGGCAACAGCAGCAACAGCAGCAGCAACAACGACAACAATTCCAAATCGATTCAATCAACAATTGGCACAATAAAAACACAAAAACAAAAAGCGATCGCCCCGGGCAATGTTACGTCGAGGGAATTCTGGCACAATCGCAGCGCTGCTGATCTTGGCCAGCCTCTGGCTGGATCGCGCCTGCGAAGCTTACGTTAACTTGGAGAGTGCGTCGAGCCTGTCGATCATTACTATCAATTCTATTATACGATCGATTATTTGCAGCTGGTGACCCCTGTCCCACCACGGGCTACCGCAGCCGCTGCCAGCCGTCGGAGGAGTGCGAGACGTTGCCATCGCACATCCAGGCTGGACGACTCACCGCAGAGACAATCGAGGGCTGCGGATTCACCAGTCGCGGCGAGAAGATCTGTTGTCCACTCGAGGCGGCTGACCAGGCCATGGAGGTGCGCAGCGAAACTCCAACAACAACGACAACAACCACAACAACAACCACAACAACAACAACCACAACGAAAACCACAACCACTCCGACACCTACAACAACGGCAGCGTCTGGCGGCGATGCTTGGCTGGATATTTTCCAAACGGATCGCGACTTTGTCCTGAACCCCATAGAGTCCACACGGCGACCGGCGCGTGACAGCTTCGTCTATCCGGACACCAAGGAGGGGGCGGAATGCAGGGCTCCGCTGTACGAGGGCGTGTGCCGGGCCGTGTCCGCCTGCCCCAGCGTGGAGCCGCTGCTGTCGCAGGGCCGACTGCGCGACGAGGACTTCATGACGTGCCGTGATGGTGCCAGGGAGGAGATCATCTGCTGCCCCATGAACTTGCCACTGCAGCCGCGTGGCCAGGTCAAGACAGGTGTGCGCCTGGGTGTCCCGCTGCCCACGCGTGCTCCGGTGCCCCAGGCGCTGGATCCTCGCGAGGTGGCAGCCATTGCCAGAGCGGATGCACTGCTGCCCCACTATCGGCACCTGGCGGCGCTGGCCCATCTCAATGCCGCCTTCGATGGACATCTTCATCACTGCGCCGCCATTGTCCTGACACCGCAGCTCCTGCTGAGTGCCGCCGGCTGCCAGCGGCCCAGCCATGCCGTATTCGGCGTGGCAGACATGCGGGACGTAGACGTCGACGAGGACTATCTGGTGGACATTGTGGTAAGCATTGTGGACACTTCTCGCGATATCTAACATTCTAAACCTTTCTCTCTCTCTCTCTCTCTCTCTGTGTAGCGCTTGGCACAGTTCCGCCGGGATTTGGCTCTGATGCGGCTGCAGGAGCCACTGATGCTGGGCAGTGCGGCGTCTGGGAATGTCAGTGTGGCGCCCATTTGCAATCAGTTTGAGCTGACGCGCCTGCAGGTTAGCGGTCGCCTGGTGGCCGTCGGCTGGGGCAAGGGCGATGAGACCGATTGCCCGCTGTACGAGATGCCCATGCGGCTGCGTCCCACCTGGGCATGCGGCGATCTGCCCAACTATGGCAGCGTGCAGGAGCTGCCCAGTTCGCACCTTTGCGTGGAGCCCCAGCAGCCGGAGACGGATCTGCAGCGCATCTCCAACGCCAGTTCCTGCGCCCCCTGCCCGGGCACCGTCGGCAGCGTGCTCCATCTGGTGCGGCCCAATGCCAGTCGCTGTGTCCTGGGCATTGCCACGCCCACGGGCGTTGAGTGCGAGGCACGTGTCATGTACTACACGAACCTGCTCAGCCCACAGCTGACGCTCTTCGTGGAGCAGCAGCAGCAGCAGCCGCAGCCGCAGCCGCAGCAGCAGTCGTAGTTGTAGTCGTAGTTCCAGTCTCCAAGTCGTAGTTACTTAAGTTTAGTTAGTACAAACTGTTGAATCTGTTTAAGTCATGTGTAGAGAAGAGAGAGACCAAATGCCCAAAAACGAAAGAATGCTCCAGTTTCATTCAAGTATTCATTCATCGGTCAGTGTGCACACACCATGCAAAAATCTCATCTAAGCTCATCGAATGTTTCCAGCGCATTGGAAATACCGATTCGCGCTTTCTCTCTCTCTCTCTCTCTCTCTCTCTCTCTGTAATCTCTGGCAACAAAGTTTGCTGTGATTCATGACTGTGGTACAGTCAAGACTCAGCTTAATGGAATCCCCTGGAATTGTATCTCCTGCAGGCGCTGTGCATTTCCCCAAACTCAAACCCAAACACAAACCCAAACCCCATGGCCATCGCTCGTTCTGAGTCACAGTTTCGTTTCGTTTACTCTTTAATTACAGCTCTCTCGCTCTATCGCTTTAACTCTTGTGCTTTTTCCACTTTTGTATTCTGTTCGTTGAAGCTCGATTCTGCGAAGAGCTGGTGCCAAAAACCGGTCCATCGCTCAGCGGGAGAGTAGCTGGCATCTTTCGCTGATATCAGCTGCCCGTCCGGTCCAGTCTCCGGCCTGGCACGGCTTCGGTTCTTGCTCTGGGCTCTGGGCTCTGGGCTCTGGCTCTGGGCTTTAGCTTCAGTTGTTTCGGCGTTGAGCTACCGATCGGTCGCCCCAGTCAGCCTTTCCATCATACATTTCGCTCCGTGTCCAACGAGAGTTTCGTTCTGCGATAGCCACCGGTTTTCAGCATTGTTGATCGTCTCTTGGTTTATTTTTATTTTGTATTCTTCTTTTTATTTGTATTTTTTTTTGCTGTGCTGTGCTGCGCTTTGTTTGTGCTTTTCTTTTCAATTGAGTTTTGTGCCTGATTGCTTTATACCGAGCCCGCGCCAGGCTGTGCCAGTAATTATTTCGTTATCAAAAACCGAAAAAAAGGTCGTGTCAAAGGTGTGTTTGATAAGGCAAAGTGGACGCAAAATGACGAGGGGATGCACCGAAGAGACAGAGAGAGAGAGAGAGAGAGAGAGAGAGAGAGAGAGAGAGAGGGGGGAGGGCAGGAAAGGGAACGAATTGCATGCATCAAAAACTATTTCCGTAATGTGCTTGGTGTTCCTGCGATTCGAATCGATTCAGCACGCCATGGACCAAAAGAGGGAGCAAAGGGATCAAAATAAGATACAAAAGATCAAGCAAGAGTCTGACAGAGCATTCCACAATAATTTCTGATACAAGACAGAGAATTACAGACAGATCGTCTCGCCTGCTCTTGAAGTATCTCTCGACCTGCCCGGGTGGGTGGGTTTTTGCTTCGTTATCAATGGGCGGGTTGGATGCCCCCTTTTTGGGTGTTCGTCAAAATGAAATTAGTGCTTGATATCAGGCAGACAAAAGCAAGAAAAGAGCCCAGAGCATGTCCGTATCTGTACCTGTATCGATGGTGAAATGTCAGACGAACAGCGACGGGAACGTAATGCCCCCGGAGTGAATCAGCAGCGACTCAGGGCATCGTCTGCCGTAGGATTGTGAAATTCCCGAAACTATCACTGAAATGGCTTTCCCCCTGTAGTCGCTATTTTCACCCAGTTCTGTTTTGGTAGATTGTGGGTCAATGCCAGGTTCATTATACTCACAATCAGCCGTAAGACCAGCTCCCAATGTTGAGACAAAAGAACACATTTCTCCTATGGCGCAGTCTCCTCTCCGTTGTTGTTGATTTTGATTTTCATTTTCATTTTCATTTTCGTTCTCATTCTCATGTTTTGCTTCTTGAATGCTTTGCAGGAGCTCCAGCTGCGGTGAGAGATGTTCGCCCCGCTGCTTTGGGGCCTCCTTCTGCTCGGCAGTTGTGGCCTGAACACAGCAGGCGAGGGTATGTGCCTGCCATCCCATCCCATCCACTCTGTGGCAGCCACTGTACTGTAGCCTCTTGCTTGTTTCAGAAGGCGAAGAATGCATGGTGAAGGAGAACTGGCCGGGCATCTGCCGCTCCTCATCCACCTGCGAGCCCTTCGTCGACGGCTACATCAAGTCGGGCATCCTCACCATCAGCGAAGTGCCCAGCTGTGGCCTCGGGCCGCGCGAGGAGATCATCTGCTGCCCCACAAAGCCCTGCTGCCCCAATGAGTAAGCCCATGAGCATCCCTCCTGTGTGTGTGTTTCCTGCCTCCATGTGTCGTCCTGTGTTGTGCGCCAAGTGATGTTGCATGCCCCGCTTCCACCGTTAGCCCACCCACCGACATCTTCTACTAACTCCACTAACCCCATCCCACAGCCAAAGCTCGAAAGGAACAGCAGCAGCAGCAGCACCTTCATCCTCGACTCTACCCGACACAAGCCCAGAGCAGAGCCGGGAGAGTAGGCTGGATCGGAGCGACAGCTTCTTCGACTTCAATCAGATGCTCAGCACGCCCCGGAGCCTCGTGCCTCAGCAGCCCACGGGCAGGGTAGAGGGCAGAACCCACGAGGCCATGCGAACGCAGCCAGAGCCATTCCAGAGCATAGGACACTGGGGAGTCGCTCCTCTTCCAGCAACGACAACTGCCACGCCACGATCCGTGGGCCCTTGGGGTTGGAATGCAGCGGGAGCGCCCAGAATAGTCAACAAGCCGCTGACGATACCCGATCCAAGGTTTAGAGAACATCAGCACCGAGGAAACCGGCGAGGATCCGGCAATAATCTGATCCAAGTGGTCAACGAGAGGCTCCGTCAGCAGGGGATGCAAATAGAGGCCGCCAGGGAGGTGGAAGCACTGTCGCCGTCCCCACTGATGCCGCTGGTCGATCCATTTGCGCCTTTCCGCTTCCAGGCAAAGGAACAGCCAGGCAGCAGCATCGTTCCTTCGGAGGCATCAAGGCTGCCGTTCGGGTTTGTCTGACTTTGGGGTTAATGGCATTGGACATCAGTTTGGCCTCAGCCAGGTGGCAGGGGGGCAGCAAAACCCTTTTCGCAGCAAATTTCAATTATTCATCTGCCATTTACCATCTGTTTTGTTCGCAGCATTGCGGAGACAACGTCCACGGCCCGACCACCCGTCTCGGCCACACCCAACTCTCGCGTGGATGTGCCGCAGGAGCGTCCGTCGGTGGTGGCCTGCAAGAGGATACAAAGCCGCTTCGGGGAGAACAGACTGACGGTGCACATCCTGGAGGGCATTCCCGTCAATCCCGGCGTCTATCCGCACATGGTGGCCATTGCGTACAGCACCTTTGGTGCACCTCCCGAGTATCGTTGCGGCGGCTCCCTGATCTCCAGTCGGTTCGTCCTCACCGCCGCCCACTGCGTTAACAGCGAGGAAAACAATCCCGTCTTCGTTCGCCTGGGCACCGTGAATATCGTGAATCCCGCACAGCAATATCAGGACATTGGCTTGGTATGCATTCGGATCCCTGCCCTTTCCCCCCCCACATCTATCTATGTTTCCTTTTCGCAGAGAAATATTACCATTCATCCGAACTACGTCAGCAGCAGCAAGTACAATGACATTGCCCTGCTGGAGCTGGAGGAGGAGGTTAATTTCGCGAACAACAGCAACATTTTTCCTGCGTGCCTGCACACAGACCCAAAGGATCCGCCACTCAGCTCCAAGCTCTTTGTGGCCGGCTGGGGAACCATGAACTTGACCAGTGAGTAGTGATCCACCGATTGTGGCTTTCCATTCTCATTCTCCTTGGACTTCTCCGCACAGGTCGCTCCAGGTCCAAGGTCCTGTTGCGTGCCCCACTTGACCTGGTGCCGCTGGACAAGTGCAACGAGTCGTTTGCCGAGCAGCCGAGCACCGTGCGTGCCCTGAAGCAGGGTGTCATCGATTCGCTGATGTGTGCGGCGGACACCAAGCATCTGAAGGCGGATGCCTGCCAGGGCGACTCCGGGGGTCCGCTCATCTTGGACATCAATGTCGAGGACGGACTGTACTCCATAGTGGGCATCATCTCGTCTGGGTTCGGGTGTGCCACCAAGACGCCGGGTCTCTACACACGAGTGGCCTCCTTTCTGGACTACATCGAGGAGATTGTCTGGCCGGGCAATGTTCTGGGCACGGGCGGGATATGAGCCAATAAATTGAAGACCACGAAAGATTCTCGATTTATTTTGTGTTTCCATCCCTGGACGCCAAGTGTCAAGCTCTCACCGTCTCTGCCTTGCCCGCTCATTCGTAAACAGAGAGAGAGATACAGTGAGCGCGAGAGAGAGAGCGAGTCGGAGAGCGGGAACAGCTGTTGGCATTGCCAGGTGGGCGACAGATGACAACTTTGTCCGCTTACTGAGCTTTGAGCTTTAAGCTTTCTCGTCTGGTTCGTGGCCTGACAGCTGGTTGGGAACCGTTACAAAGAATTCTGCCGGCATTACTGTCGTTCCCAAGCAAACGTGCAGCGGGACAGGGACAGGGACATGGACATGGACAGAGATGGAGACAGAGACAGAGACAGCGACAGTCGGGGCTCCATCCGGATGGTGGGGCTGCCTTAAATGCCGCTGCCTGGGCGCTGGGCGCCTCAGTTGGTCGCGAGACCTGCGTAGCGTCGGTTGGTTTCGCAGCCTGCCCCCAACCATCATCCACATCCGCCTCCTCCAGCGGAGCCCAGTAGGCCTTTGAGCGCTCACTTCAATTTCAATTTCAACTTCAGTCTTCACCCGATTCACACCGGTTCGGTTACGGTTCGCTTACGAGTTCGCTGACACACACAGTAGTAGTGCTTCGGTTCGTTTCGTTTCATTTCGTTTCGATTCGATTGAGTTGATTTCGGACATTTCATCTCATTGAGTGCGTGCGTTATTTGTTTTTGTTTATTTTTTTGTTCAAGTGTCCAATGCCTCGAGAGCCTGAACTCACCTAAAAACCCTCAACGGTAACAGCAACAAAAGGTCACTCACTGCCAGCCGAGTTGGTAAATGTAAGTCGATCTGTGTCTGTGTGTGTGTGTCTGTTCCTTTGTAGTTCGATAATTGAACATTTGTTTATCGCGCGCACTCTCCCGCCGCCAGTTATTATTTCAATTGTGGGAAATAGATTCCGGCTGCACATCTGCTAGGCCAACCTCCAACCACCCACCCCCCTCGTGGCTGATAAGCAGCTCGACAGAGTCGCCAATCTACCGGGCGATCCCATCCTAGCTAATTGTGCAGACCTAAGCCATCGCGGGGGCGATTGTCGGCCACACAACACAACAGGTGTACTCCGTCAAATGATTCATGCGCCAGGGGCAGGCCTCTCTCCTGCCTTGCTCGCCAAGGAATTAGCGGGTGCGAAAGCCTGATAAATGCGGCAGACAGCGCAGTGGCCTTAGCCCTTAGTCGCTCTACCCGGAATTAGCTGAAATACGCCAGGACTTAGGCGTCAATCGCTCAGCTAAGCCCTGGCCTACGCTCTATCCCCAAAAGCCAGCAATTTAAATTGAGAACTTTGGCAGAAAGTCGGGCAAGTCGGGCAGTCAGGGGAGACGTCTTGGATGAACAATTCGAAGTATCGAAAGTAATTGCAGTTTTCCCATGATTACACCCACCTTGGGTAACAAATACTTTTTAATGCATCGTTTTGCCATCAATTAAACATCGAAGGGAATTTTAAAGCAGCTCCCATGTCCAGTGGGCAGTGACCTCCACCCATCTCCACCTTCATGCTGGTCTGGAAATGCAGTGGTGTGTGGTGTAGCTGTGGTCGTTTTGTTTGGCTATAAATGTGACACTAAGTTAATACATTTATGGCTAAAACACACCCAACTGCTCGTTGCCTGATGGGTGTTGTGCGGTGTTGCTAATTTCCCCTTGGCTGCTCTGTGGCCCATTTACCATCTACCATCTACCATGTCCCAAATCCCCACTTCCCGTGCCGTTTCCATTTCCATTTCCATCATCCTGAATGATGGCCGACAGCAGCGCGATAAGGAGAGGCGAATGGGAGAATGGGGAGCTGTGTATCATGAGTATTAATAATATTTGTATTGTCCGCTTATTTGCCTTTTGTGGTCTGGCTTTAATAAACATTCAAAATGTGGTCCGCTGTGCTGTTTGCCTTCGCTTTAATTAATAAGTAAACATGGAGCAGGGCCAGAAGAAAAAGGGAATCCATATCCAACATTCGAATTGGATCCAACCGGTATATAGTGTGGAGATCCAGCATCAGGTGCTGCATTCGGTGATTGTGGCAGAAGTTTGTAAGTGCCTTTATGCCTGGGATTGAGGCCTATAAAAAGCGTTAGGAAAGACGGGGCCTGGGGGCAGGCCACGACGACGACGACGACGACGGGAAAAACAATTTCCATTTTTATTTTCACAATTTTCGTTCGCTTCTGCTTTTGTGGCGCTCATTACTTTTGGACATATTGCCACAGGCGATGCCATTGAATATTCATGCGCCAAATGTAATCACAATTTCGGATTCGCCTATGAAGTGTTGGGACAGGGGGTAGAGCAGGGGACCTGCCGCATTCCTCGTCTCCTCAAAAGGAGATTCAACTGCACAGTTTTATTTGCCCCTTGTAGGGACATTCCAAAGTTAATCTGTTTCTTGATTCCTTGATTCCACCTGAAGGTTTTCTCCTTCTCTTTCGAGTGCGAAAATCAATGCTGGGCAACAAACTAAATGCCAGGAATGGTGCTCTCTGCCCTAAGTGCGGGCCAAGTGAAAAGCTGGCTTAAGCAATGATTTCTGGCTGCTCGCTGGAGCCGATGTTTGATGTTCTTCCAAGGAATGTTGCAATAAAAATGCCGGAATAGCTGCAGATCCACCAAGGGCACAAAAACGAAACAAAGAAAGAAGAAAAACTAAGCAGCTAATGGCGTTAGTTACTTAGCCAACTGAAATGGAGGCTGCTTGCTCTTCTCCTTCTCCTTCTCCTTCTCCTCCTCCAGCTTCTTGCTTCCTTGAGTCCTGGCAATGCACATAAATTTACACACAAAAGTTCATTTTTGTGTTGCGCGTAAGTCTCCTCACAAATCTCTCATTTCGCTCTGATTTGCCAGCAAGTGGAAGTAGGGAATGGAGAGTCGAATGTCTTAATACCCTGTAGGGAAGCGATCACAACTGAAGAGCCTAGATGGAAATATCAGCGTGCTTTTGACTCAATTAGCTAAGGATGCTCTGCCCAATGCTCTGCCCGCATGCCATGCATTTTCTTTATGGCCTCCTTTATTGACTATGTTATTCTGCTGCTGCTCCTTGACAAGGGTATAGGAGCCTCCTCCGCCTGCTGCTCATAAGAACCAGGCACCAGGCACAACAAATGGCATACACAATCCGAGGGTGGAGTGTGTGTGTGTGTGTGCTGTCCTGGCACGGTGTCTGGATGGAGAGCCACCACTTAACTCTGATAAAGAATCAGCTGAACTCGGCAATGTGACGTTAGACATAATTTTTGCTTTATTTCCAGTATGAGTTCGAGTCTCTTTTTTTCGTTGTTCATTTTTCGTTGCCCTTGTTTTGTGTGTGTTGTGTTGCTCTTTTTGCTTACTTTTCTGCTTCTGTTGCTGTTTGGGTTTATGGGTTGAAAGGTCGCTGACAATGGAGCAGGGAAGACGGGAATTTATGGTTTGGCATTAAAGGAAATTTAATCGATTCCCACTGTCTTAGCACGTTCATACATACATACATATGTGATGCCATTTGCCGCTTACCCAATTTCCATATGGCTCCTGCCACTGCCTCCTGCTGTTCGTGCCCATATCCTTCCCTCTCTCTCTCTCTCTCTCTTACCAACTCCCTTTCTCTGAGACTCGGAATGGGGCCTACAGCGGCGCGTGCCTTGGGTTGCATTCGGAAAGGAGTTCCCCCCTCCATGCCACACTCGTCGTAAAAAGCGCTCCCCTCTTTCGTTGCGCTGCCGTATGGAAAAGCAAGAAAAAAACACAGCCAAAAGTTGACCGGGTGGGCAAAGGGTTGGGTGGGACGTAGTTCCAAAGCGTTGTGCGGAGTGCGTGTAAAATGCGTAAATTATTTTCCATCTTTGTTGTCGTACTTGATATTTGAATGTCTGCCTCCCATTCTTCCACTCTTCCATGCTGCCTGTTGCCTGTTGCCTGTTCCTGTCTGTTGCTGTGCCACTGACACTGCCGATTCCGCCCGTTCGGCATGTAATTAAAAATGTTGTCACGCTCTGCTGCCACCAGCAGAGGCAGTGCCAGTGGCAGAGGCGCACGCGGAGGCCAATGCCAAAGATGGAGGCACTTAACATTTCCTTCAGGCTGGGCATGGTAGCTCCTTGAAGGTATGTTGCAAGGCAGACCCTTCTCCCCGCGGAAAACTCGTATTAAATTCATTAGCAGACACTTTGGGTGGGGGGTGGGCAAACGCCCCTCAAGGGATTGCTTTCGAGAATAAATGATTGCTGGCTGCCATAAATCATGAAAAGGCCAAACGAGGGCGAAAGCTGATTGCTGCTTATCGAAATCCGTGAGAATGTCGATTGTAGCAACCAGTTGTTGATGGGTTGTACGTATCTCTGCCAGAAGCTGACTGCTGGCGTTAAGCTCGATCTCTGAAGGTCCTGAAATTATGTTTTTCTGCCTATCGAAATCCGTGAGAATATCGATTGTAGCAACCAGTTGTTGATGGGTTGTGTGTATCTCTGCCAGAAGCTGACTGCTGGCGTTAAGCTCGATCTCTGAAGGTCCTGAAATTATGTTTTTCTGCCTATCGAAATCCGTGAGAATATCGATTGTAGCAACCAGTTGTTGATGGGTTGTATGTATCTCTGCCAAAAGCTGACTGCTGTCGTTAAACTCGATCTGTGAAGGTCTCTCACGTAGAGTCCGGTCCTTCCCCATTAGATGTCTGAAATTATAAAATTGTTTATTAACAAAAGGAACCTGCCTTCCGGTGGAAATGGGGCGCGTGGGACCACAAAATTGCAGTTGATGGCCATAATGCTGCATAATAACCTGCCCCTTAATCATCTGGCTGCTTGGAATTGCTTTGTTCTCTGTGTTCTTTTATTAGAAAGAGGACCCACTGGAGGGAGACCCGCATGAGACCCCCCCATGGAGAGATGTATGCGAATGTGCAGTTTTTTCTAAAGATCTCCCAAGGATTTTTCCGCTTTCTGTGTTCCACCTTTAATGGCTCTCTCGTGCTTCTCGTTTGACTTTGAATTCAAATGTTAAGCTTGCACTTCCGTCGGGCAGTGTCCCACACATTTAAATGTTCATCGTTTCCATTCGTTGCTGGCCTCCGGCTCCGCTCCACGTTTTGGCCAAGTGTTGAGTGCTGGCCATCCTTGCCGGCGACAGCGATGGCGACGGCAAATTAAAACGTCAGCTAATAGCACCGAAATTAGCGATGCAATTCAATTAGCTGACGGCAGAGTGTGTCGCTTCGGGAGCTTTAAAAGGTTCCACCATTTCCAACCACTGCCACTCCCAGGGGGCTTGTGTCCCGTCGCAGCTGCCTTTCATCTGGTGGCTGCTGTCATCTGGCTGTCAATTAGCCAGGAACCTTGCCTCGATTTCAAGCCTTTTAAAATTGCCCGTCCGCAAATCGGCAAAAGCCGCCTTCTGCTCCTCCTTCTCCTCATTTTGTCGCAACTGTTACTCCTGCTCTCCCGTCTTTAAATGAACTCATTAAAGTTAATGAATAACGAGGAAAGCCGTGGCGGCTGCTGGGTGGCATTTGATGGGCTTAGAGCTGGGGGGGTGGCGGCCTCCCGAATCCCCTCTGACTTTCGGCTCAAATCTAATCAAACTGCGGCTGCGGCCTGCTGCTCCCAGGGCCGCCATGTGCCGGCCCCAAAAATCAGACTCTGTTTCTGCTCACGTTACCGGCTCGAAGCGAAGCGAAGCGGAATGAAGAAAGCCTTTGTCAACCGTTTAGAAGAGCCTGCTGGCCCATGACTGGCGCCTTTCCCAGGTGCGAGCAGGTGTAAGATTCGACCACAGGCTGTAGGAGGGTGGAGGACACATT